GAGCTCATTGAATTGGTAAATGTGCACTGTGTAATTAACAGATATTACACAATCCTCTTTGATTATTTACCGTTTAATATATCGTTTATTGGGATTGAAAGTAAATTAAATATTTTTAAATTTAAAAATAAGCTCATTGTTTTTTAACTTTTGTAAGATGCATATAGGAGGTGACTAGATGAAAAGTGGATAAATACTCTTTGAGCAGTTGTGTATTCAGATATTGTTGCTAACGACATGCTCGAAGAGGGTTTTTGGATTTTCACATTTTAATGGGAAAAACGGGGGGTGAAACAACGATATTTCTACGTGTTTTAATTTTGCTAAATTTATCATGTATGCTGATGATTTAAAAATATTTCACTCAATGGCAAAATAACTTATTTTTAAATTCATCTAAATGTAGTTATATACAATTTTCTCGCGGTAATAATATACAGGGTGTTATTGAAATACACGTACATATTAACACTGGGTATTGCGCAGATCCCCACTGAATGTAGAAAAATATTATTTTTTAAAAATACCCCTTATTAAGGGAGTTATTAATTTTTGAAAATTAATTCTAAAACAAACGTACTTCACTGATATGTTGAGGATGACCTATATAAATTAGGTTTATTTACCTATTTTAAATATCAACAGTAATTAATATGCAAGTTTTTGTCAGATGATAAGAAAACTAGTCTTGTAAGAAATAACCATGTTGCCAAGATTTTCGAATTAATTTCTATTTCCGAAGACTGGTTTTTACTACCTTCGTTATCAAAAAACTAGAATATTTGATAAATGATTGTTTTTAAACTATACATTTTTGAAACTATAGATTATTAAAATTTTAGTTGATTTACGAATCTGGCTAACACGAGCGCGTCATTTCCAAGTTGGTAAAAAGTGTTGTTACGATTACTTTTAAATATTTTTTTACGATGCCACTATTTACGAATATTGAACTAACGGATATAGTGCTGGTTTATGGGGCAGCTGGAGAAAATTCTCGGCAAGCACAAATCCTGTATCGCGAACGGTTTCGAAATCGGAGAATTCCGGACTGTCGTACGTTTATTTCAACTGTTCAGCATCTAAGAGACCATGGAAAATTTGAGAGTGTCAATGCAGATCGAGAACACAAAGAACATTGGCGGCCGAAGAAGAAATATTGGAAGCTGTTGAAAACCGGCCTCAATTAAGTTGTAGAAGACTAGGTCTTGAAATTGGAGTGTCCTCATTTGTTGTGTGGCGGACACTTAAAGAACAAGGTTTACATCCTTATCACATCCAAAAAGTCCAGGCCTTATATCCAGGTGATGAAGAAAAGAGAGTGGAGTTTTGTGAATGGATGATTCAAAAATGTGTTGATATTCCTGATTTTCTAAAAATATTATTGTATACTGACGAGGCTTCATTCACTCGTGATGGCGTGTTCAATATGCACAATACGCATATTTTGAGTGATGAAAATCCTCACGCCATTAGGGAAACTGGGCATCAAAAAAAATTTTCAATAAATGTTTGGGCTGGCATAATAGATCAGTATTTAATCGGGCCTTATGTTCTCCCGAACAGATTAAATGGGCCAGGATATCTCCACTTTTTAGAAGATATTTTGCCAGTACTCCTAGAAGAGATACCGTTACAATTAAGGCAACGGATGTGGTACCTACTAGATGGCGCTCCTCCTCACTTTGATTTAAACGTACGGCAGTTTTTGAACATTAGATTTCCTCAAAAGTGGATAGGCAGAAATGGACCTACTAAGTGGCCTCCGAGATCTCTGGACTTAAATCCATGCGATTTCTTTTTGTGGGGTCACATGAAACAACTGGTTTATAATGAACCTATTAATAGTGTTGAACAATTAACCAATAAAGTTAATGCGGTAGCCGAGGAACTACGACAAAATCCAAGACTAATTTCTAATGTTCAAAGTTCTTTGGAAAGACGATTGCAAGTGTGTGTAAATAATAATGGACGGCATTTTGAACAATTACTGTAATAAACTTTATTTTGAATTAATTGGTTTTGCTACGGCAACAGTGCAATTTCTATGGGTAAGTTCAATTTCGATTTATTTTACTTCTTTAAATATGGAAACTAGTAGGTCGGAAAAGGGGACTCTTCCCCAATATTTAAATTTTAGAATTTGAAGTTAAAATTGGTGCCAATCGTTTTTGGTCATTACATACTATTCCCCATTTTTTATATGTACGTGTATTTCAATAACACCCTGTATTGAACAATACCTATGCCTATTATAAATAACTTGTTGCCAAACTTTTTCGCTCCCTATATACGATATTTTCAAAAACTATTTTCGGAAAATTTTCAAATAAATCCAAAAAGAATAATAATATATTCAGAAAGTGTACCACGAATAATCCTAATTTAAATAATGTACATATACATAGATATTTCTTATTTGTTTTGAGTTAGATAAGATTTATGTGAGACACTCTGAAATTAAGATGTTCGTAAAAACGCAACACTTAAATATAATTAATATTAACAAACATCGAATATGTAAAAACGTGAAAGTTGCGCACATTAATAAAATTATAAATGTTGTAATAACTTTCCTTTTCATTGGTTTTCAGCTCTTTAAGTATTCACATTTATACGGTAAAAATGGAAAAATTTACAAGAAATATAAATAATATGCCATATGTGGAATACAGATTTTTTTTAAATAGTTTGTTAATCATGTCTACTTGAGAACAAATATGTTTAATGATGATGGTAATATTAACAAAATCGTCAAAATTTAAGTTAAAAATGAGTGATAAAATCCAATCATAAAACGATGTAAAACAGAATTAAATTTGTACAACGCGAAGCTGATTTATAACCATTTTCGTTGATAAAAAAATCTTGATATTTAAATTGACATTGTTGCGTTTATTTCATCACTATTTCCTAAATATTTAGTCAATAGACTTCAAAATTTGACTAAATATTAACAAGAGGTGTAGAAATATATTTTTAAAGACCACATTTTAAAAGTTCACTAAATTATAAAGTTACAGGGTGCCAAAGTTGAACTTGGATTTTCAACAATTTGACATTGTTGCCTTTATTTCATCACTATTTCCAAACTATTTGGTAAATAGACTTTAAAATTTGACTAAATATTAAAAAGAAGTGTAGAAACATATTTTTAAAAGCCACATTTTAAAAATTCACCAAATAATGAACTTACAGGGTGCCAAAGTTGAACTTGGATTTTCAACAATTTGACATTGTTGCCTTTATTTCATCTTCATTTCTAAACTATTTGGTTAATAGACTTCAAAATTTGGCTAAATATTAAGAAGAAGTGTAGAAAGATATTTTTAAAGACCACATTTTAAAATTTCACCAAATTATGAAGTTACAGGGTGCCAAAGTTGAACATGGATTTTCAACAATTTGACATTGTTGCCTATATTTCATCACTATTGCCAAACTATTTAATAAATAGACTTCAAAATTTGGCTAAATATTAAGAAGAAGTGTAGAAATATATTTTTAAAGACCACATTTTAAAATTTCACCAAATTATGAAGTTACAGGGTGCCAAAGTTGAACATGGATTTTCAACAATTTGACATTGTTGCCTATATTTCATCACTATTGCCAAACTAATTGGTAACTAGACTTCAAAATTTGAATAAATATTAACAAGAAGTGTAGAAATATATTTTTAAAGACCACATTTTAAAATTTCACCAAATTATGAAGTTACAGGGTGCCAAAGTTGAACTTGGATTTTCAATAATTTGACATTGTTGCCTATATTTCATCACTATTTCTAAACTATTTGGTAAATAGACTTCAAAATTTGACTAAATATTAAAAAGAAGTGTAAAAATATATTTTTAAAGACCACATTTTAAAATTTCACCAAATTACGAAGTTACAGGGTGCCAAAGTTGAACTTGGATTTTCAATAATTTGACATTGTTGCCTAGATTTCATCACTATTTCCAAACTATTTGGTTAATAGACTTCAAAATTTGACTAAATATTAAAAAGAAGTGTAGAAATATATTTTTAAAGACCACATTTTAAAATTTCACCAAATTATGAAGTTACAGGGTGCCAAAGTTGAACTTGGATTTTCAACAATTTGACATTGTTGCCTATATTTTATCACTATTGCCAAACTATTTAATAAATAGACTTCAAAATTTGGCTAAATATTAAGAAGAAGTGTAGAAATATATTTTTAAAGACCACATTTTAAAATTTCACCAAATTATGAAGAATACAGGGTGCCAAAGTTGAACTTGGATTTTCAACAATTTGACACTGTTGCCTTTATTTCATCTTCATTTCTAAACTATTTGGTTAATAGACTTCAAAATTTGACTAAATATTAACAAGAAGTGTAGAAACATATTTTTAAAGCCCACATTTTAAAATTTCACCAAGTTATGAAGTTACAGGGTGCCAAAGTTGAACATGGATTTTCAATAATTTGACATTGTTGCCAATATTTCATCACTATTTCCAAACTATTTGGTTGATAGACTTCAAAATTTGACTAAATATTAAAAAGAAGTGTAGAAATATATTTTTAAAGACCACATTTTAAAATTTCACCAAATTATGAAGTTACAGGGTGCCAAAGTTGAACTTGGATTTTCAACAATTTGACATTGTTGCCTTTATTTCATCACTATTTCCAAACTATTTGGTAAATAGACTTCAAAATTTGAATAGATATTAACAAGATGTGTAGAAACATAGTCTTAAAGACCACATTTTAAAATTTCACCAAATTATAAAGTTACAGGGTGTCAAAGTTAAACTTGGATTTTCAACAATAGCAACGTGTGGCATTAAAAAAGTATATTCTTCAACTCGTAAAGAATGCTAATTTTTACGAGTATAATATTTACAAAATGAACCGCCGGCTAGCGTGTTTTTCTCGTTAAACAATATACCTTTATCTTAGTAGTCGTAGAAAAAAAATATTATTAAATAAATTAGTTATAATAAGATTCGTACCAACGACTCACCATATCTGGATCGTTCCAATGTCCCGGGCCGGCATTTTGAATTAATATGTCTTGATTATTTCCGTAATAATCGATTATGCTCTCGACGCTCGACCACGAATCTTGAATATCGTCGAAATTCCTCCACATATTACAATGTTGGATGATGGAGGAAAAATTCGGTTGCATTCCCGCGTATATCTGATACACGGGCCAACTGCATGAGTAGATCATCGGCCTGCCCGTCCTATTCAAATGAAATCCTAAAACGAACATTAAATAACTTTCAAATTTGGATTTTTTAAAATTCTAAACGTACGGAAGTATTTTAGAAAAAAGTACCTGGATAATTAAAATTCCTTATGGCAAAGAAAGCACTAAAAATTAGTGTTTTTTGTCTAGAGAAAGATTTTTGAAAAACCTTATTTTTTATTTATCACGCACGGCACTGAGATGAAACTGATACAGGAGCTACTTAAAGGGAAGCTGTAACCAACGGTCCACAAATTTCAATTTTTACACGCTCGTATTTCCCAAATCCCAAAATAAAATTTTATGAATTTTACATGGGTGTACACTTTGTAAAATGCCCTGTATAATATTTGCAAATGGCAAAATAAAGGCTTGGTTTCTAAGAGACGAATAAAAAATTTATCCAACTCCAAAACTCGCGGTGAAATACATGCATTTTCAACAAATATATGGCAGTTTAAAATTTAGGTTCATTTTTAATTATTCCATAAATAATGGACGAAGTGTATATACATATCGCTCATTGAAAACAAAAGTGACACTTTACAAAAATTAAAAATTTTCAGAAGATCACTTTTAACTTTTAATATTATTTTGTCCTACAAAGTTTACTACTAAAATACTACTCACAGCGATTCTTTTGATATTGATGGACTTATTTATTATTGTTTCAATTTATTTGTTAACTAAAAAGGTTAAAAATAAAATATTAATTTAAAACATAGCCTCTAAACAGATTTTTCAAGGTGCGATATAGTTATTGCACTTATAGGTACCCTTTTCTAAAATATCTTCTAACTTATAAAAACAAATAACTTAAATTTACTAATCTTTTATTACCAAATTCTGGATATCCTCGATCCATATCCCTGGGATGAGCATAACATCCGTCCAATTTAACATAATCCACATCCCAAGAAGCGAAAGTTTCTGCATCCCTTTGAAGACTTCCCAACACGCCGGGATAACCAGCACACGTATAGTTACCGTAGTCCTCGTATATACCGAATTTTAAACCCTTTCCGTGTACCTACGACAATAATTAATTATCTATATTTTATTTAAAGGCAGTGATTTTTTTTCGAAATAAGAAAATGTATTCAGAATGGCATCGTTTGATCGATATAATAAATTTTAGAATCATGCTTTTCGATTTTTCCAAAGTGTTCATAATGATGTCAACGTGAATCAGAACACAATAACTGTCTCAAGGTAAATGGAGAGCAGGTAATAATTATTATACGTTTATTGATCGTTTTACATAAGATTTATTAATACTCAAAGATGTAGAGAAAGTAGGATTTACAATATATTACTAATAAAGTAAATAATGACCGCAGGAAAAAACCAACCATTCAAGCCATAGAGAAGGTCATCTCTCTGACACCGGTAGAAGATTAAAAAAAATGGGGACTGCTAATTACTTTAGACGTAAGAAATGCCTTCAACAGTGCTTCATGGGACAAAATCAAACAATCTCTGGCAAGACTAAACATCCCACAGTACCTGCAAAACATAATAGACGACTATCTACATGACAGGGGTATAACTATCACCAATAAAGAAGTCATAAATATCATCGGGCGTCCCTCAGGGATCGGTCCTTGGACTAACCCTGTGGAACATAGTGTATGACGGGGTACTAAAGTGCAGATTCCCGGAAGGAGTTAATGCAGTAGCTTTTGCCGATGATTTAGCTCTCACGGTATGTACAAACACAAAATACAACCTCATCCATAAAGCAGAAGTAACCCTTGATATGGTAGAGGTATGGATGGAAAAACATAAGCTAACCCTAGCAAAACACAAGACCGAGATGATGGTTCTAAAAGGCACCAAAAAAAGAGCGAACCTCATAGTACGCATGACAGACACAGAAATAAGACGTTAAATACCTGGGAATAACTTTAAGCGAGAAAGGAAAGTATGGAGAACACCTGAAAAAAAATCACCAGGAGAACAGAACAGAGAATTTCAAGCCTGTCTCGCATTATACCAAATCTAGGAGTCCCCAGCAGCATGAGAAGAAAGATTCTTCACGGTGTGGTCTAATCCACAATACTCTATCCAGGGTATCTATTCTTGAATCTCGGGGAGTAGAAATTATGAGGGAAGAATGAGACAAAAATACAACTCTTGTGCGATGCAGATGTAGAGTAAAAACCGGTTTTCTATTCCCTCGAATTCAAGAATAGCTACCCAGAGTAGAGAGAAAATGCCTATTGCGAACCTGCAGCGCCTACAGACCTGCATCAACAGTCTCCTTAAATGTCGTGGCCGGGGTTATTCCTATACACCTGATGGTAAGGGAAAGATTCCCTTTTCACCTTAGGAGAGAAACTAACAACAGAGTCAAAAAGGAAGAAATGCAACGCACCCTCGAGATGTGGCAGAACGAATGGGAGCAGACAGAAAGGGTCGCGCAGTGGACTAAGGCACTAATACCAGACCTGCAGAAGTGGTTAAACTGCAAGCACTGGTGCACAGACTTCTACCTCACTCAAGTACTCACAGGCCATAGAGTGTTTAAAAAATACCTGCACAGGTTTAAAAAAGCAGCGACAGATGACTGCGTATACTGCGGAGCCTCAGACACAGTGCCACACACTTTGTTCGAATGCCCTAGCTAGATGGTCGCTACAAAGACAACGGACACATATCCAGCTAGGGGTAATGCGAGGAGCAGACAATTGCCTGGAAGACATGTTGCAAACGAGGGGTAAGTGGCAGATAGTACACCAGTACATAAAAACGATACAGAAGAAGGTAGGCAGTAATTATATACAAAGACCAGAGCTGCCCAGAAGATATGCCACCATGGCGGTACCTGTTCAGCTTTTTCGGAGGAGGTGGTTTTTTAGTTGGTTAAAGTCCAATTCGCGCAAAGAGCGTGTCCATGACGGATTTTCCCACCTCCAGAACAAAAAATGATGACTGATGACTTTACGGAATTCCTTTTCCAACTTTTGCAATGTATCTCTTGAAAAAACAGACCATGAAAAATAATATAGTGAGAGGATTAAGTCAGATAAAATATTGGGTAGATCACTAGTATATTATTATTAAATAAGGTAGAAAGTTTCTATAAAAAATATAATATATCCAAAAGCCCACTCACGCGACATGTCACGCGCGACTGATCGCGCGCGGCAATACTTTTGATGTTTTTAAATGACCACGCGACAGAACCGCGTTAATGGGCTTTGAGTCATTTAAAAACATCAAAAGTATTGCCGCGCGCGACATGTCGCGTGAGTGGGCTTTCCCTCTTATTTGGCAGCAACGCCCCTTTGAATAAAATACCCTGAAGATGACATTGTGACGATATCTTCGAAACCGATACTGATAAATACTTCAAATTTTTGATTTCTCTTAAAATTGATATTATAAATGTAACTAGTTTATAAACTTTATCCTTCTAACTGGAACACTATAGGAGAGAGTGGTATAAAAAGTACAAATTTTTTTTTAGACAAAATAACTTGCTGACCGTAGTAGAATTTTTTGTAAACAAATAGTCGCTGTGATTACACCAGAAGGTGGAATTTGATTCCGAAACATACGTAGTGCTAAATTAATAAAAATATAATCGAAAAAAAGAATCTAACCTTTCAAATGTGGTCAACTATGAGATAAATGAAACAAAAAAAAAATCTATACCTCAATGAATCTTTTAAAAAAATTATTCGGCTACCGGTTTTGGCTATATATCCATTTAGGTAAGATAGTTTTACATTTTTCGAAAATATATATACAGTTTGTCCCTTAGGTTGGAATCATATGGAAAACTTTTTTATTATTAATTTTAGAAAAAAAAGTTATTCTTCATAAAAAGTTCTGAATTATCTAAAACCTAGAATACAGTCATCAAATATCAAATTTTTTCAGTGGTATACGAGGTTTGTCAAAAAATATGAGTTTTACTCAAGAGTAAAAGTACCTTTATTCTTTATACGACTGATAAAATTTGATATCTGATGGTTGTATTTTAGGTTTTAGACCATGCTCGACTTTTTATAAAGAATAACTCAATAAATAGATTCATTTTTGATTCGTTTTATCTCTTTTTAACTGCTGGGTGGCGTTGTTAAGTTTGGTTTTATCTGATGGAGCTCTGGTCTGATGCCATTTCCTCCTTAGTTTATTAGATAAGAACTATTTTACACAGACCCGGATTATTTTGCTCAATATATAAATTACAATATTCTTATTTAGTTTGAATAACTGTAAACTGATGTAAATATCAGATTGGTACCAGAAAAGTCACGTTGTTAACATTTTTTTCCTTTATCGCTATACGTAGGAACCATAAAAGTATGTTTACGGAATTTTAAAATGCACGAACATAAATATTGTAATTTTAATCGAAATCCGCATACTTTTGTTAACGCAATTATTTTTTTTTTGCTTATCTTCGAGGGACAGTTAGGCAATTAAAATTAGAATAATTTATTTTGTTCACATACGAAATCAAGATTCTGAAGAATACATTGACCTTGACCATCCATTTATTACCACACAATTTTAATAATTATAATAATTATTAAATCCTAATTCGTACATACAGTATGTCCCACAAATATGGTGAGTTAATTACGAGTACAAACTCTTACACTTACATAATCAGCCAATGATTTCATTCCTCTAGGAAACCTCGTTCTATCTGGAACTAATTCCCCATAAACGTTTCTGTCCTTTTCTAACCAACAATCGTCTACATTAATGTATTCGTATCCTGTGCTGGCGTATCCCTCGTTCACGAGAATGTCAGCCATTGTTCTGAATAAATTTTCACTGAAAAATAAAGAAAAAAATGTCAAAAATACAAAGATTAAACAACAAAGTCTTCATTTAAAATTTGGACAAAATTAACGTAATTACTTGAATTATTTAATTATGATATTGTTGCATTAATTTTGTCTTCTGATAAAACTTCAGAAAAAATTTTAAAAAGTTTTATCCTTTATAATTTAAATAAATATAAACATATTTTGCTGTAATTTTGTGATAGTGAGCGTGTATATTCTCAGCATTTAATAACATATATTTCAACATTTATATAACACCTACTTAATACATATTTCTTTGATTTGATTGAAAGCAATCTAGAATATACGCCTGAAAGGTAAATTGAACCTTGTGCTCTCCTTATAAGTCGAAGTGAGCACAATTATGCATATATCTATCGCTTCTTGCTTCGGAATATTACAAAAATACTAGAATTTATTCGCAGGAACTATTTCAATTTATAAAGAATGTCCCACAATTTCATTAACGCTCTATCAGTATGTATAGCAAAGTGTTTGATAAAATCGATCATAATTTGCTTTTAATGAATCTAGTCGAAATCGGTGTACAGGGAGATCTTTTAAGATGGTTTTCGTCCTATGTCTACAATAGCATAGGACTCAGAACCATAGAAATAATAGATAAATTAATAAAACAAGATGAATGTTTTAAATGCACGCCATTGTCAACACGTTGTAGTTCCCAGCATACTATTAGTTAGCGCCACTATCGCAATAGTATGAAAGCGATGTTGCCGGTTTCTGTAAACTTTCATGAGATGAGAGTTATTTCAAATTCCTCTTATTTTAATTTTTTATCAATCTACATGCGCACCATACCATCCCTACAATGTCCATACCGTTGCTGGGATTTTTAAAAGAGTTGACAACCTCGTAAAAAATGAAAAACCGTGATATGATAATGAAATGATAAAATAAAGCTTATTTTATGAATTACAGTTCATCAAATTTCTAGAGGTGTTCGACGCCCAGACAGAGAACGCGCTACGTGTGACTAAGATAGCTATTGTACAGTCTGCTAAACAAGTTATTTTAAATAGTTTTTAATATTTTTAGGTAATTAAATTTTAAAAGTGTGGAATAGTTTAGGGATTAAATTGGTCTGATTGGACTTTCTTAGAACGTTTTTAAAAGCAGTTAAAGATAGTATGTAGAATTGAAAATAATTATTATGCCATAAAAGGTGTTTTGGAATTCCTTCAACCTTTTAAAATTGAGTCAGAAAATATAAATTTTATAGGATAGCGGAAAATACCTATAATTTTTTTGTAGGCCTTTGTAAATCGTGGAAATAGTTTATATTTTATTTCTACCTTATTAAGGAAAATGGTACCTATTATTAATAACGGTTGTTTCTGAAACATTACTAAAATTTTCGAAATTTTGTTTTTCTACAAAATAATAAACTATACTATTTAGAAAAAAAATTATTTCTCTTATAATTTTATAAAAAATAACAGGGGAATATTTACATTTCTTGATCTATTAAACAAAACGATAAATTATCTCGACGAATGACACCATGTTCTAGTACGGAAGCTAGCTTTACATTTTTTTTGGTGGTTTCATGGGTTTCATATCAATTTTTTGTAATTGTAGTTTACAGGTACATATACCTCTTAACACTTGTTTGCTTTATTAAAAAAGTGTGTTGTTGTGATTTACGTCGAAATAAGTCAAAAACAACTTGAAACCCCATATAAAATCAAAAAGGAGAAACGGAAAAAAATTGAGCCTATAAATGAACACAACTCAGAAACAAAAATAGCTATCTAATAATAAAAAAATAAAATTTGATTCTTGTGCAGCTTCATCTATATCATTAACTGTTTTTGGTTTTTTAATGGTTTTTCTTGGTGATGAAAATTCCGATATCTCACGGTTATCGATTCTTTTTTTCTCTCCAGAAATGCGGACGACAGTGTTTTTAGATACTCCTGTGGCTTCAGCAACACGATCATTTACATTTTTAAATGGTATTGAAGGTGAATTAAAGTTTCCTTCTCTTCTCATAAACTCTATAACATTGGCTATTATTTCGCGAGATTGACTGTTAATCACGCGGCCTCTTAATTTGCTATTAAACTCCATACTTAGGTTCTATTAAACTGCAATGAGCAAAAAACACAAACGAAAATAAAAGAAATGTTTTAGCGAAATTTACATCTGACATTTACCTCTGAATGAAATAGTGAAATACTTGATGCGCAGAGTGTACTTTCATTGCGTAAATCCGTCGGGATGCCTGTCAGTAGTGCTTTCTCTGTCTAGCCGTCGAAAGCCTCTAGAAATTTGATGAACTGTATGATGAAAGTTCTATAGATCGGTAAGTTATTTTTAAGAAGATAAACAGTATTGATTTGATGTAATTAGTAAGTATTAGCAATGTAATTTAATATTAAAGGTGTGTAAATTTATTAAGAACTTTGTTTATCATTGTTTTCTTAACCTTATGTAATTTCAGATTTCATGGATTTTCAGTTCTCTTTTAATATTACAAAAAAATGTCTGGTCCGGGTATAGTTAAGTATTCTTGGTTCAGAGTACGGTACAGAATGGTGGAAAGTCTATAGTTTGTTTTACTTTTAATGCATAATATTTTAATGGTATTTAACAAATATTTAAAAGTTATGAACTTTCCACCATTTTTTATAGAATTTAAAAGCTGAAACGCAAAATACATTCTTTTATTTTTGCCTAATTAGGAAACTTGTGTTAATATTAAAAAATGTACTGTCCGTAAGATGCTGTCATCTGAACAGGCGGAATAGATACTAAAGTGAAAAATTGCAACATCGCTCCATATGCAAACGAATGTAAAACCGGCTTAGCTCAATTTGACCATGTTCCTTGGTGAGGGGCCAGGTGATGTGCAGGGAAAGATTTCAAGTAAATAAATTATTCTATAAATGGCATTTTCCGTTTGGAACACAACACAAACATGTTTGTTTTGAAAATTTGACGTTTGTGGTTTGACTTGTCATTTTAATTTTATGGACTTTAATAATTTTAAAGATAAAATGTACTTATTATTTATATATATTTTCAAATTATTGTAGATCCAGGAAAGGTATGTTATCGTTTTTATTTTATTTTTATTGTCTTTATTTGGCTGGTTTGCTAGTATGACAATATTCAAATTTAGTAAAAAATAATGTAATAATATAATGATTATTATAATCAAATTCTAAATAGGAAATGTAATTTAACTGCAATTGTTTTGATAACAGTATTTGCATATGGTCTGTGAATTTCATCTGTTTCCGAATAATTACCCCTAAACATTTGAATTTTTCTACTAACTATAGAAATTTCTCCAATTTCCTATATTATTTGTCCACAAACTGCATATAGTTATTACTTATCAGCATTTATTTTGTTTTATTTGTGTTGATTTTTAACAAATGATTGCAACACCATTTATGAACATTTTGCAGAGTTTCATTAACAGTTATCTGAATCCTTACAACTTACATGAACATAGATCAGAGGGGTGCGTTCAGAAACGGAGAGCGTCAAATTTTCAATCGTCCGGACAAAATTCGTCGGAACGATTATTTTTGTCCGATAAATACGAACTGTAAGTGCAACGTATTGTCAAATCAAGTTTTTGGTTGTCTTTTCTGTGATCTAAGATTGTATGAATTATTAAAAATTAGTAAATCTGTAACACCATTGACGTCCACATAGACTTTTTTATGTAATAATTCAATTCATTACCTTTAATCCTGTCATAAAATTTTATCATTTTCTATAATGAAATTACCATCGTTTCCAATAACTAGACGATAATTGATGAAATTAATTCTCTCACTCATACTCATATTTAAATATTTTTTACTCAAAAAGTAAAAATAAATTAAATACTAGGTGGTTCTCTTGGGTTAATTAGGACTATGACATACTGCGCAAGTCGAGTAAAAATTACCCTACTCAACACGGTGGGTAAAATTTCTTCATCCCGACGCGTTTTTCTTTTAAATAGGAACGGCTGGGGTAATTCGTCCAGATAAAACGTTCCTCATTTAGGAACGCTTTTTAGAGTTTAGACAACGTCCGGACGCGTTTACCCTACATTTCTGAACGCACCCCAGCAAATGAGTAAATGTCATATTGACACCCTTGTGACATCAACAATGTCATTGATATAAATTAAAAATAATAGAGGACCTAATTTTCTTCCTGTGTATCGCCTTTGATGTGGTAATTTTTTTTGATCAGGATAGCGATTCTTATGTGCGAACTCGACACATTACATACAAAATAGAGAGAGACATTACATTAAAATCGCTGTATGTCGAACGAAGATAGGAGTCTTGATAGGAGACGTACTGAAAGATGAGAATCCCACTGCATATGTTATTTAATTTTAACCTCTCTGACCTGTTACTTAGATAATCTACATGCTACTCCAATGCATGCTTTATATCACAGATATAAAAAACACCCTTTATACCCAAACTTTTTAATTTTTTTATCAAATGGTTTTGATCAACAGAATTAAATGCAATTTGAAGAAATACAATTAATTTTTATTGTACATATGGCGGGTTGTACCATAGGTATTTAAGTAAAGTGTAATATATCTTGTCCAGTACACTCGTTTACACTTGAGCATTAGCCTTTATTATTTTTGATTGAAGACGTATACATTTAAAAATGTAATTTACTTAAAAATAAAAATATTTAATTTTGTTATTTTATTTAACTCAATCCGAAACATTTTAATTGTTATTTTCCATTTATATGATTTATACCGGACCTGTATGTACTCTAGTAGCTGACAGTGTTGCCGTCAGTTGCCGCCACATATTCATTAAGTCATAAGTTTTATTAAATTCATCGTGTTACATATTTGTTGAAGTAAAGAGAGATAGAAATTTAAAGTGACGTTTTGTATTATTTCGAATGAAAAATCGTGATTATATCGCAAACAAAATTGAGTTGGGTCTTAAGTAAGCTATTTAATAAATAATATAATGATAGTAATATTTTTTGTATCTCGTTAGTTTCCTTTTTCCTTCAAAAGGGAACTTAGGCTTCGATCACATTAGAGGCACGCTTGTGCAAGTAATTTGGTGGCAGGCGCGTGCGCAAGCTGGCGCGAACAGTAATGTGCTCACACTAAATGCAAGCAGGTGCAAGTTAATTATTAAAATTGGATGAGCAGGAAATCAGGGAAGAGTGGGTTAACGAGTATTTTTTAGACAGAGAGGAAGATGGAGAGTATGCACGAATATTTATCGATTTGCTTAGACAGTCTAATAAGGTTTTTGAATACTTTAGAATTATGCAATTTACACTATTGTTCCAAAGCTGCCCTATAGATGATTTCAACGGAAGACTTCTTGAAGTTGCAAGGTCATTAGAAGATCTTTGCGCCATCTATAAGTTTACATAATAACTAATACAATAAAAAAGAAAACTGTAAATTATTATTTTGGCAATCTGTTTAAGGTTACGGCGTGTCGGTATTCATTTTTTTCTTCTTTCTTTGTCTTCTTTATAGTTGTATGTGTATGTGGTCTTAAACCTAAAATAAAACCATTAGATATCAAATTTTATCAGTCGTATACAAGGTTTGTCAAAAATAAAGGTACTTATATTTAGTCTTGAACAAAATTTATATTTTTTGATGCACCACGACTCAAAAATTTAATATTTAATGGTTGTATTTTCAGCTTTAGACCATGCAGAACTTTTTATAAAGAATACCTTTTTTCTATAAAACTAACAATAAAAAAAGTTTCCCATATATGGTGCGCCGACTTAAATTGGACACATTATATAAAACTTTTCTTTCAAATACCCTAAAATACGGACCCTAGATTCCAGATCTTGGCGATAGTGAGAGTGAAAACTGGGCCCATACAACTAAAGAAGAAGGCAGGAAAAAAAGAAGAAATTTATGTTGACGCCGCCCAAGGTTACTGGACTAGTTTATGGACCTTGGACGCCGCCGTAACTTTAGACAGATTGCCAAAATAATAATTTAGTTTTCTTTTCTATTTTATTAGTTGTTATGTAAACTTATAGATGGCACAATGACCTTGCAACTTCAAGATGTCTTCCGTTGAAATCATTTATTGCTGTGAGATTTTAACAATGCGTCCCAAATAGGTATTCTTCTCACGGCATCGATAAGCGTTTCCGTATCCATCATATACTCATAAACACAAATCAGGAGCTCCACAACACTGCACTATCACTGCCTCAATGGTCAGAAATCATCTGAGATCACGATCATGCACGCTTGCAATTAAAAAACAAATATTTTTGTTTCGGATCAAGCGTGCACTTGCTTTTTGCGTGCAGTGTGAGCGGCGATGGACAAGCACCACTTGTTTCTGTCGCACACCAACGTGTGGGTTGTATTAACTAAAAAACTATTAATAAACATTTTTTAAAGAACTTAAACTCCAAATTTAAATAACACAAATAATTAAAAAAAAATATTCAGCATGAATCTGATTCGTGAACAGATTCAATAGTTTTGCATTAAATATGTGTAAAATTGTAAAATGTATTTTTTTGCAATGCTCAATTTACTTATAGTTACAGAATTAATTTTTTTTGCAGATAACTGATTTCTTCGACAGATGGTGATTAGCAGATCGTTGCATCCACATCACAGGGGCGCATATATGGTGAGGCTAGTAATGGGGGTAAGTAATCCCTAAGAATTTTACATTTAACTAAATTTTCATAGTTATTAAAACCTAATAATATCAAAAATAGTCTAAAATATTACCACTAACTCCCTTCCCCCCCCCCCCCCCCCCCCCCCCGACTCGTCTATACAACTAATAGCTTACTTTTTATTACACTGGTACTTAACGTATTAAGGATCAAAAAGTCGCTATTTTTAGCTAATTTAGACTAAATCGCCTCTCTTATAAACCATTAAAATGTCGCTATTTTCGCGACAAGTCGCTACGAATGGCAACACTGGTCGCTCTCCTGAGAATTTGGTTTCTGTGTGTACGCGCGCGCCACCAAATTACTTGCGCAAGCGTGCCTCTAATGTGATCGAAGCCTTATAAACATTTAAATTATTAACTGGTTTGTTTAAAAACGATATACCGGGTGTTCAAATTAAAGTGTTACAGCTAAATACCGCCTTTTATAAAGAAAAACGTTTTAGACGAAAGTTTTATAGTTTTGTGGGGAAAAAATTTTGGCTAAAATCGTTTTTTATAGCTAACCATAATATGGCCAACTTTTTTTTCGCCCAGCAAAATGTTCAAGTAGCTGTAACTCAAAAAATAAAAGTCTAATAAAAAATATATTTCCCTCTAAAGTTTCTTATTTTTTTATGTACTTTAAGAATATGTAAAAAAAAACATGGGGTGCCAATTTAAAAAAAACAAAGTCCACCTCGATATGGCCATATTATGGTCAGCTATAAAAAAATGAATTTTGCCAAAATGTTTCCCCCAAAAAACTATAAAAAATTTGTCTGAAACTTTTTTTCCTAAAATGCATATTTTCGGCAGTATTCAACTGTAACACTTTAATTTGAACACCCGGTATAAGAATTATTTTTCTTTTATTGTAATAGCGGATACTTCATTGGGAAGTTTTCCTGTTTGTATCCTAAATTGTAAATAAATATTTTGTAATGAATGGTAGCCCTAGGCGTCTACAAAAGATTGAGCAAAGTTAATCGGGATGTCACGATTTTATTACAATTACTGAACACAATTGAATTCGCAATAATTCATATCGATTGGTTTTTTCTAACATGGCATTTGTTATAGAAATTATAACGGAACACTTTTTATAAACATCGTTAGTATTTTCCAGGACTGTTATTTTTTTTGTTGTTTGTTAATAATAGAATTAAAATAGTACCTGATACAGTTGTCAGGGTCGTTTTTGCAGTCGGTATTGCAACGGAACCTCTCCCAAGCGAGCCATCCCATGGGTGGTGTCCTGGCGAGTCCATTTTCTAAGGCAGTCACTTCACTTCCTGGATAAAACGCTACTACTGCTAGCACGACGCATATTTTGTACATTTCACTGCGTAACCTAGAAAAATGACATTTTTGAATAAAAAAAACTTGTCAAATATCATTATTTTATTATTCATTAAGCACTATACAGAGTAACAATTTAAAAACTCGCAATAGGTCTGTTCGGGATCATCAAAAATACATTGAGAACTATCAGAGGACTAATTGTATGCGACGAATAATTTGGAATTGAACTGTTCCTCTGATTCTCGGATGGTTTGCATCGAGTTTTAAAGAAAGCCGAACAAACCTAATATATTTCATAAACTATTCTTCAGTTTTTAAATTGTCACCCATGGGCGACATTATTTTTTACTTGTACATATACAGTATGAGTTTTTTGATTGGAACCCTCAAATTATCTACGTCATTAGGATGTCAACATAAAATCGCCATAACGATGCAGTGGCGGCTCGTGGGTTTGAATGTAGGTGACTCATTGAAAATAAAACTTTTTAATTGAAATTTTTGCTAAATTGGTAGGCAAACAAAAAAAAACTACGTTCGACTGTAACACTAGTGGATGGAATAGTTAAGATTAAGCAATATACCTTATAAGCTTCTTGAAAAATATCACGATTTTCAAATAGTTTTTCCAACAATTTATCGATGTCAATATTTATAAAGTTTTCATCACTGTAAATAAACTGTAACTCATTTTTTAGCCTTTGTAATGGCTATTTGCACCGACTTTTGGATTAAGCGCGCTTACCTAAGTACGGTTTAACTTTTAAGCACGTCAAAAAAAAATATTTTGCACCGTTTCGTGTATGACTTGGTTTAGTTAGGCGAGGATGCAGTTTAGCATCAGTGGATTTATTTAGGGAATTTTTATAATTTTTTACTTGTCACTTATCATCCTTTGAATTTATTTGTCATTGTCACGAATATTTTCAAATTAGTTATTTGTTACTTCTTGCCGTTTTTTGTAATAAAATGGATAAAAAAAGACAAAGAGCTGCAAACTATACTAGTAGGGAAAAACAATATTTATTAAATATTGTCTACAAGTACAAAAATGTCGTTAAAAATAAGCAAACAGACGGAGTGTCCCAAAAAAAGGCGACTCTGGCAGAAATTACGATAGAGTTTAATGCCCAATGCCCAGGTTTAGTGAAGAGATCTGTAGGATCTCTAAAAAAGTATTATGAGAACCAAAAGAAGATTATAAGAAAACAAAAGGCGGATGAAAGGATGGAGGTTTATCGCAGAGGAGGAAGCCCTCCTCCAAAGCAGTACACTGATCCCTCTGATGAACTAATATTATCTATAATTAATGAAAAAATAGTTCATGGATTAAAAAACCCGTTGGACGGAAACCTGTGCATGTTTTGAAATTTAGCCTGTTCAGTAATTAAATGTCTTTCCTCTGGCACTCGAATGCATTGTGACGCAATTTCTCTGGATACCTTTCTCACAATTCTACTTGCTACAGCTATTGAACTCAAATGCCCGGAAAATCGTAAACAACAAAATAACTGATTTATTGGACTTACACTATTATTTCTGTAAACAAAATTGTTAATAATAATTAAATAGTATCATTTATTCTTTACCGGTCGTCAGGATATTCTAAATTATTCTCTATTTGCTACAATAGTTACAAAACTGTCTGTTTTAACAGGCGAAATCTTGCTCACCTTTTTTTCTTAAACGTCTTTGTAGAGACATATAATGTCACGAAGTATTCTCAATGGCATATAAATACAATTTTATATTAGAAAATCCTTAAAACATTTTTGCTTTCGCACTTTGTATAAAGCAACTATATTAGCTGGTAAAAGCCGTTATTTAATCAATACAGTTTCTAACCTTCACCTCACAAAAATAGCCATATGCAGCGATTATTAGATAATTTCGTTATTCTCGATATTTCACAATGATATTACGCAACTTTATCTTTGCTATCAAAATACATAATATCCCAATCTTAGTACCTATACGGGATGCCGACAATTAATGATTTCTCTCGATGCATCAACTTGGATGGATTATTATTACTGCAATAAGACTTGCGAAATGATCTTTCTTCTACCAGTAGGTACATACCTACATTCATTGTAATTTCAATATATGTGTCCACCAACTAATAATACTTAAGTCGATAAATAATGTATCTGCGAATGAAATAATATGGCGTTATAATTAATTCAAATCAAACAAAATGCGATTTATAATTTTAATTCCCTAATATACCGTCTTCTATTTAAGGTAATATATCTAAAACCCAAAGAATGGAGCACTTTTCTAGTGGTTTTGTCAGATTTATAAGGGAAACCGGTAACCAACTTTATTTAATTTTTAATCACTTGAAAATACGGCACGATATTAAAATAAAAATTACAAACTTTTCTTTTAATAATCTCCATCATGCAGTGATCTAGACTAACTAGAGATCTTTGATTTTGCTTTTTTCTTAGAAGACATTCCTGGCTCGTAATAACTTTTCTAATTGAAGGTTCTGAAATTTTTGTCAAATGTAATTATTTTCCAATTTTAATTGGTGGTACATGTTTTGAATAACTTTTTGAGTCTAAGGTGACATCTATATACGAAACTTTTAGTTAATATCATCCCCTTCCTCCTCCTCCTCCTACTCCTCCAAGTCTTCTTTACTCTCAGAAGAAACTTAGATGGGTAGGGTCACTTGGGTGGGGTAAGAGCGCGTTGTTTGGGGCAAATGTATGTATACAAATCTAAATAACAATATTCTAAATAATAATTCAATTTTAGTGTGGCATTTACCCTATGTTTACTGGATCAACAAAAATTTAAAAAATATATTACTAAAATTTATTATAAATGCCAACTGTTTCATTTAATTGTAGGGGAGACCATCCAACAGTGGCCATGTTCCACCAATGGCCACTTTTAAAATTTACCGCCTGTATTTCCCGCAGAGTGCTGCCACCTTACTTAAATTATGCATTCAGTTCAATAGAGTTAATGTGACAAGTAACATCGTTTACCACTGCGCCGAAATCTACATTTTGATTCAGATTGTAAGTTTTTACCTTAGACTAGGTACTAAGGTTTTTACTGCTATTTTAATGAGCAAAACAAATTATTAATAACATGTAATGACCACAATCAGGACGCAACGGTGGTGAAACCTTTCCCCAAATCTGAGAAGCAAGTGAATTGTAATCGTGACAGGAAAAAGAAATCAACAGAAATACTAACTAGTATTTCTTTCATAGAAAAACTGCAGGGCGTACAAGTTGAAAAGTTAAAACATAAGGTAAAAAAAACATCTCACGTCAAGATACTGATGAATCCAGTTCTATATCTGAAAATGAAAATGATTTGTCATTTGCTTCGTCAACTCTTTCCGAGGATTTTGAAGAACAAGAGGATTTTGAAGATCAAGAAAATTTAAAAATGCATAGCTTTGTATTAGTTAGATTTGCCACTAAAAAAACTATTAAATATTTAGTTGGATCTGATAATGAAGTCACCATATCTTTCTTAAGGAAATATGGAGAAAACAAGTTCATTTTCCCCAATGTGGAAGACGTATCCACTGTTGTGAATTATATATAGATATAATAATACTGATATTTAATTGTGAAATAGTAAAATTTATCTGTGCCGTCTACTATAATACCTGTATACCAAATATCATTAAAATATTTATTTTTAAAAACTTTACCACCCTGTATCTCAAAAGTTAGGACACGAAGTTTTCTTCTTAAAATGGACTCAAAAATTGCCTGCCCAAATATTAATATTCAATTAGAGAACACCCTATTAACATTAAATATCTCAATATAGATATTTCATATCATTTTTGAAATTCCCTCTTATTATTAAACAAAATAGGTACCCTCAAACTATTCATTTTGTAATCCGCTAAATATCGTGATTTTGCTGAAAGGTGTACAAACGTCATGCACGAATTTACATACAGGTATAATACTAGTTTCGAGATTAAAAAAAATAAAAAATAGGACAACGTACAAGTTATTAGTGAAAGTGTCTATGTTGTTGTTGCGTAATTTCAGTATTTTTTTTTTGCAAAAGTGAATCGTTTAAAAAGTAGAACATTTGTTGTTGATATAACTAAATTGATGATATTACTTCAGCATCCCATAAAAAATATATTAGATAGCCAAGCTCTAATTTGTAGAAAGGAGTGTAAAATATTCATAAATAGTCGTGAGATTGTTACAAAGTTGACGTTCTCATTTTTTATTAATTGATATAGGTTTTACTTATTATTTTGTGTAACTAGACCATTATTTGGATGCCACTCTTCACTCTACACCTTATTCTGGCTCATTCTTCCTCGTTCTTCAATTTATTGCTAATTCTTATTCTACTATAATATTAATCAGTAAGTTATGTTGTCACATTGTACTTATTTAGTTTTCATAACATCTGCTACAGAGATAGGTACAAAAATTAATTTTACATTTTGATTAAAATCGTTGTTTGATTGTACCACTTCACCCAAATTGAACTCAAAAACCTATTTCACCCTTACTCATAATTCCTCAAGGATTTCACTGCGCATAAATGTGATACAAAGTTTGCTAATTTGCGCAAAAGGCCAAAATGCATATTGCGTCGGTATTAGGTGTTTTTTTTTTACTGAATTTATCAAATCATTCTATCTGTAATAAATATACTATAGGTCATTCACTGAATTTACACCCATATCGGTTTAAGAAACAGATGCACGACTGAGTCGGTCTACAGGATAATTTCGCATCAGGTAGTTGAGTAAAATAAGCGTAGTCCTCCGGTGGGTAGAGGGTGAATATATTTTAATTATTAAATACTTACTTATATAGTATGTAATTATATTTATTAAAATTAAATTACTGAAGTAATACACGAAAAAATGAAAATATTTTTAATTTTGTTTTGGACATTGTTTATGGTAATACCATTTTCCCCGAATACAACAAACGCTTTATGGTCAGGAATTTCCGGAAGTCCCCTTCTCAGGTATAAAATTAAGATAAAATGTTCTATTTTTGTACTGATGCTATAGGACTAATTGCGATAAATTATTTAGTTCAGTTTTGGATTTCGAAGAGAACGTATGTCGTAACTGAAAATGCCGAAGCGCGTGTTGCGTGTAGATGACTTAATTTGTAATCTACATAAGTATTTTACGGCGGAAAAAGATAACAGAGGACCTTTAAAGCCAGTAGTGAGAAAAAATACACACCTCGCAAAAAACTGAAAAATTTGGATATATCTGGTGGGACAAAATTTCGTATTCGTGATATGGTGTATGAAATGCGTACGAAAAAGGAACATGTCAACTTAGACACATTGGTGGCTAACTTAAGAGAAATACAAATTGGTGAATTTGGCAGAACAAGTCTTTGGAAGTTGCTTAAGGAAATAGGTTTCACATTTAAGAAAGAAGATAATAGAAAAGCTTTATGTGAAAAAAATAATGTTGTTTAAAAGAGAATGGAGCTTCGTCTATATATTTGGATGAAACCTGGATATTTTCCAAAGGTAGGACGAAAAGAATATGACAAGATGAACATATAAAATCAATAAAACATACTAATGGTGAGGGAAAGCGACACATAATCTTGCACGCAGGTGGAAAGAATGGATTTGTGGATGTTGCAGGATTAATATTTTCCTCTAAAACAAAATCAGAAGACTACCACGATAACATGAACTCGGATATGTTTATCAAATGGTTAAATGAAAAACTATTACCAAATTTAAGTGATTATAGTGTTAGATAATGCGAGCTATCACACAGAACTTTTAAACAAACCGCCAAGACAGAATTGGACTGTAGCCAAAATGACAATCATATTGGAATTAATGGTTACAGCGACGAAGCAGTAAGGGAAATATGGAAACAAGCACTGGATACATCAACCCCAGAAATTTGGCAAAAAAGTGTTCAAAAGTGTGATAAATTAATTGACGACTGGTGGATACGTGAAAACAGGATAAACGAAATTAACCCTATAATTATATCCCTTAATGATGACAGCGACGCTAGGACACAAATTTTGAGAGTGATGCTGAAGATTTATAGGTATGTCAAAAGACAATTATTTATAATAATCACTGTTTAATATAGAATTTTAAAATTTTAATGTTATTTTTAATCATCGTACTTACTTAATCGCAGGGTAAAATTGTGTATGTAAATTAAAATTTTTGTTCTGAATAAACTATTATTAAACAACAAAATCATGTAACTATCTCTTTTAAGCTTTCTGAGGCAAAATTAAATACCTAAAATTTATATTTATTTTGTTTCTATAAGAACCCCTTGCAATATACAAAATAACGCCACCCATGAGTAAATGTTTAAAATACAACTGACCAGTCAAATATTTCATTTATTTCTTAATCCGTTATAGGGTGTAAATTCAGTGAATGACCTATAATTTGTGGGAGGTATCGTTTAGTAGATTCTTTACAAAAAAAAAAAACAAAGTGAATCAAAGAGAAACCAAGATTTCATTTACCTTTTTTAATGCATAAAATATATCTATAATTAGAAAATAATTTGACAGGATTTTACCATTAATTCCGAATCTGATCTTCCCAAAATACAAAACATACGCAAAATACTTTCACAGGTTAAAGAGACAAGGTTAGCTACAAACTAAACCTGTGACTTTATATTATTCAAACAATAAGATGTGTCAATAATCTTGTAAATTTATTTAAATTGAATGGATAATGGGTTTTACTGTGCTTCAGAATCTTTAGATGGTTGGTAGATGTCCTTTCGATTACAACATTCTTGAATAAGATAAGAAAGAGTATGAATTCCAAATAACTTCAAGGACTAGTAAGGAAGAATATCGCCGACCGATCTTCGTATTGGAGAATTTTACAGGAGAGAAAAAAAAACTTATTTTTAACAAAATAGAAAAATTATAGAGATCGATATCGCAAACAACTTTTAGTTTAACAATTTTCTTAAAAATCGGAATTTTGAACATTTTGTCAAATTTCTCGAATACGGACCATTTCAGGAAAATTTGGTATGAGGCAAAAATTATAGATAATAATATTAAAAGTAACTTTTATTTAAACAATTTTCTTCTCCAAACATAAATAACATATATTCCATAAAATATAAAAACGACCTCCTCTAAAGTACCCCCCAGATGTTCCGACTTTGTCCAAGATCTAATCAATTCACCTCAGGCCGAAATAAAACTTATGTTTAAAATTTAATGTTTTTTCCACTATCCGTTTTTGAGTTTTCGTCAAAATTCGTAATTTACACATTTTCTTAAATATCTCGCATACTCCATTTTAGAGAAATTATGTATAGGATAAAAATTATAGAGAATTATATTACAAACAACTTTTATTTGAACAATTTTTATAAAAGCTTTAAACTGTTTAATAAACAACATCTCCAATAAAAAAAAGGAATTTAAAACATAATTAGTCTTTACAAAAAATAAACTAAGAATATATCGATTGTTAAAATCAAAAAAGAGAAAAAACGTCACTTAGCTTATTTTAGCTGTCTACATAAGAGTAGTGGGATTCTTATATTTCGATACGGGACGTATTGAAACGCATATCTTTGTTCGACAGACTGCAATTCTTATTTAATCTCTCTCTCTATTAGATACGTATCGTGTTGAGTTCGTACACAAAAATCCATGTGCACTTTGCAGGTCATAATATTCAATGTCTATGTGACTAGCTTTTATGAAAGGTTCATGAAGTGTCTTTAACATTATTGGATAAAAATAGATTGTGATAATAATGGTTAAATTCATCAGGTGTAGCACCTGATTTGCAAAGTTTTAGTATTTTCAGAGCCTTTTTTCACCCCTTCAGGCATCCGTCTGTGTGCATGGCTTGGGATTTACAAGCAATGCGAAAAGCTGGTGTTTCGGTGTTGTTTTGGTGATTTAAGAAGTGCTTCTGGTTATTTTAACGGGCAAACAATATGGAGACGAGCATCAGCATGCCCACTCATTACGGCTTAACCAATCACTCGTTACAGCTTGACCAATCCAATCATTCACCACGACGATTAGGGCACCACGTGTTATCATTTATTTATTTTTGAAGGTTAGCTGTATCGTGGAAAGAAAGGGTGACGTAATTACCTTATCGATTTCGGACTCATCTAGAAAGGCCAGAGATGGTTCTTGGCAAAACAAATGGCTTAGACAAAAAGTATTCAAGAAATAGATTCAACAAAAATAAGTGTTCTGGCTTTTATCTTGTTTTGGCAGAAAAACTATTAGGAAAAAAAAAAATAATAAGTTACTTGTTTCTTATCTGGTTTTGGTAGACGCACTATTAGCAATTGAACACAATGCTATGATTATATTTCGGTATAAATGCCACTCATCTTGTTTGTGCATATGTATTAATATGGAGTTAGTTTTTATTGACCATATCTGTTTATCATGAATATAGACCAGTCATACTTGTCTTGATTATGCCGTATAATATTTTATCTATTTTGGAGACGAAATGCCGAAAGTGGAGTCATCTTGTTTTTGCAGTAACTCCATTTAATGATCCAAACGTTTTTGCACATTTCGCTCAAGATTTTAAAAACAGAAACCAATAGTTTTCACCTTCTTAATAATAGTATTTCGGGCAACAAAGAAAAGCTTGGATGGCCGCAGGTTGAGTATGACTATTCTAGACGAAAAAGCTTTTAACGTATTTTATTGTAAGTAAAAAAATGCTTCTTTAGGTAAAAGTTAAATATATTGTTCCCTTCTAGCATTTTTATTTGTATATTTTTTTTTTTGTTAGAAAGACATCTTTTTAGATTTTTTTCAACCGATTTAACTTTTCAAAAAGTGACTCCAAACGGGTACGGGTTGAGCCTTTTTACCTGTACTTACATAATTTTTCTTTCAATAAAAATAAAAAATAATCCGTAAAATTGGTGTACTATGAAACCCTTGCGTATTATATATGACGATTTTAGTATTACAGAAATGATTTACGTAAAACAATAAGGTGTACCCTCGTAAAACATCAGTAAAATATTATTATAAATTGTTTTCATTCCCAAATATTAATTTCTTAAAAATCTAACAGAGGCGCCACTTTCCAGACGAAAAATCTTGCAATGTAAGGGTTTCGTAGTACCCCACTTTTAAAGTTTATTTTTGACTATTTTTAAAAGAAAAAAATATGTACGTGAACGTAAAGGTTAAATCTATGCTCCTCTGGAACCACTTTTCAAAATTCAATTTAGTTTATTCTAAAAAAAATTAAGAAAATAGGAATTTTAATTTTTTAAAAGTATTTGAAAATTGGACATTCTTACCCATTAAATAACCGAAGAAAATACAATAATTAAAATAGTTTTATTAAAATAACATTATTTACTTGTTCTTCTGCATACCTAACACAAAATATTGAATTTAATTTATCGTTAATAAAAATAACGCAAAATATAATTCCCACCTGTTATTAGGCAAATTTCATTTTGACATTTATCTCAATTTCAATTTAAAATTTACGCTCATATGTAAAACAATTTAATGAAAAAGTGCATCTCAACTGACGTTTTATGCAATTGCCAATTCGAGCAGTTCTTTTTCTAGGAAAACAAGAATTGGCATTTCGTACAATAAGTAACAATTTCAAGATACTTCTAGTTTACCCTGTATATGAAAAATGTACTTAATTTTATAACCGATTGAATATTTACCTGTTTCAATTTTTTTCTATTACCGTCAAATTCCCATAAAGTAAAGATTATATCCCGTCAATGCAGTACAATTCACTCTTAAAATTATTTCCAAAAAGACACATTTATTAAGAAAGTCGAATTCGAAAATTGATTTGGCGAAACATAAAAGTTCAGTATCAACAAAAAAACCGTCTGTTAGGTATCGATTTTGTATCCGATGCTACCCCCCGATATGTGAAATTAAATGGTCAAAGAGTGTGCTAAAAAAAATATAAAACACGTGAACGAGGGACTAGATATGAATGTTATACGCACGAACACGATATAATAGCGACTGCGAATGTGCATTTGACGATTGGCGATCGCTGTGCCTCCACCTTCCCACCATCCACCAGACCAACTCGCTGGAGGCTACGGTGGATGGTGGAAATGATGAAAGAGTCGTGAAAAGAAAAGGCAAAACTGTTTACGATATCATCGAAGGTAGGGTTTTTGCAGGGTCCAGCCATGTGTTGAAATTCAGATGCTGAGACTGAGGCTGTATAGGAATGGCTATATAGATATACAGGGTATTTCAAAAAAAAGGTGGTTATTATACGCCGACACTCGAGCGGCGTATATAATTATTGAAATATTATAGAAAGTTTCTAGACACTTTTAAACACACTATACACAACAATTTTGGGTCCGCTGACACTAAAAAATCCTTAAAATTTGTTGTTGGGTTTCCATCATAAAACAAATGTGAAATAAACCATTTTCACTGATTTCTTGTTGTAGAAACGGCTAAATATCAATATTAAACCATTCATAGAGCAATAAACCATACCAAATTTTTTCATAAACGATCAAATTTTCTTATTTTTAGTTTGTCAGAAAAACAAATAAACTAAATTATTTTTAATGACAATTGACGTTTCTAGTTTCTATAAATGCGGTGTTGCCAAATCGAGTAAGAAAACATAAGTCAGGAAATAATTCGGTTAATAAAAGTTGGCTGAAAAATAACAATAGTGTCTGGCCAGCAGGTGAATTTGGATCCTGAAGTGAAAACATTTGTAGTAATCACAATCCGTCTTTTAATTTCATTTCATAATGATTGTGCGTCGGCATGTCGGTACTTATCTAATATTTGTAAATTTGTAGTAATCACAGACATCCGTCTTTTTATTTCATTTCATGATGATTGTGCGTCGGCATGTCGGTACTTATCTAATATTTGTAAAAAATACTTCTTTTTTTCAATTTGAGCTGTGTCCAGGCCGCTAGAGTCTATGTCGGTCGGCGTAGCCAAGTATGGATTAAAATGTTCTAGTGGCGGCGAAGCCGCCACCCTACAAGAAGTCGTTGCTTCGTCTTATTGTATATTTTCTTATTATTAGATGCTCACGATAAAGACGCGTTCGTTAAAAGTTGGAATCGATGTTCACTGGCCAGATGCTAATAAAGGTTGGATAGGTTAGGTTTAGGTTAAGGTTTAGGTTAGATTAGGTTAAGGTTAGGTTAGATTAGGATATTTCATGATGATTGTGCGTTAATTACGGCATGTCGGTACTTATCTAATATTTGTAAAACAACCTTTTTTTTTTTAATTTGAGCTTTGTTCAGGCCGTCACCCAACAACGAGTCGTTTTGGTTCGTGTTCTTATTGTATATCAATATTGACGTCGAAGAGTACTCTGCCGATGAGGGTGACGAATTTTTCTGATTGGTTGGCCTAATACAACACAGGGCATAGGTAAAAATGACCATTGCTATGTAATAATTGATATGGCGACATTGTATTTTTTTACACATGTCACACTGCAATGTCAATTGTCATTGGGTTCATGAAAATTAGATAATTTTGACGAACTTTAAACTGGTCACAAATTAAGAAAATAAACTGTTTGTGAAAATATTTGGAATGGTTTATTGCTTTATGGATGGTCTAGTATTATTATTTAGCAGTTTCTATAACAAGAAATTAATTAAAATGATGTGGTTCAAATTTTTTCAACATCGAAATTAGAGGACACATTTTAAAGTTTTAAGGTAAGAAAAAAATATTTTAAAGCGTTTGCAGTCAAAAAAAGTATTTTGAAATGTGTTTCAGAGGGTCTAAAATGGTCTTAAATAAAAAAAATAGCCCGTTCGACTGTTGGCGGATTTTTCCCAGGGTATAAAAAAATATATACACATTTTTAAGATTATGGCAACTGGCAACATTGTAATGTAATTTTGTTCGAATATGTTTTGGACGCCGACACATCGCATACATTTTTTTATATCTGCCCCTCGTATTCTAAAAATTAAAAGTGGACTATGTAACTTTTCTAGGTTTTTTATATAATAAATGTCTCAAAGTTAATGTAAATAAAACGTTATTATTACTACGTAATACAAGTATAAGAAAATAGATGCAAGACTTGTTGATTTACAAATATTTATAGAGCAAATTGCAACTTTTGGTAATCGGCTCTTTGTAACAGAATAATAGGAGAGCGGGGAGGTATGGAAATTGAATTTACGTTGCCCTAAATTATATAGTAACTTGATTAAGAAACCTAAATTTCCCGCTTTTTGAAAATATCTCCTCTTATGTTATTCTGATATCAAAACTTTATCAACGAAATTGAACCAGCAGAAGAGCGGGTAGATATGGAAAAATGTTATTTCTGTTCAGATCTTCATGAACTTTTGCACTGCGTTACAGTAAGCGATTTAAAATATCTGGCTGGTGTCTCTTCTCTCTGTCAGATTCTTGTTAAGAAACAAGTCTCAACTTTTAAACTAGTCCTGCTATAGTTAACAGAGTATTTTTTTAAAATAAAGACGTTAAAGTTTTTACGTACACTAATTTTTTTAAACTTTTATTTTCTCAAAATCGCAAAGCAATTTTTTTTTGTCTCCGATTTCAATGCAAATTTGGCTACATATCAAAAACAGCAAGGTAAATTACGGGGTGAACTCAGTTGCTTTCTATCTCCAAGGGTTTACTTTTTTTTCGTGTTTCTCAGTTACTTATTACCAGATTATTCTATTAAGTCACACGAACGTAGAGCTGAATAGATAGAATAGAGTGCTCTATGCCGTTCGTCTCTATATTAAGCCGTTTCAGAGTTATTCAAATTTAAAGAACCATCGAGTTTGCATTGCCCTAAATGGCAATGACTATTTCATTAGGAAACCTAATTTTGCGTTACCCTAAATTATATAGTAAATTAATTAAGAAACTTAATTTTCCCGCCATTTTTAAAACACCTCCTCGCATTTCTATTATTCTGATACCAAAGTTTTATCAAGGAAATTACTTTTGGTTCTTGGATCTTCGTATCAGGATAACAAAAGATCGAGGAGATATGGAAAACATTTTTTCTGCTCCGATCTTTATGAAATTTGTCACGGCACTACAGTAAGCGATTTAAAATGTCTGCCTGGTGTCTGCTTTTATCCATCTATGATGCGTTTTAAGAAATGAGCTTAATTTTTGAACTAGTTCTGTTAAAGGAAAACAGAGCATTTTTTTGAGATCTACACGTTCTAATCTATAAGAACATCAATTTTTTTAAACTTTTATTTTTCCAGAAAAAAAGACAATTTTTTTTTATCCCTTATTTCAATGCAAATTTGACTATATACCAAAAAACAACAAGGGGAATCACGGTGAACTCAGTTGCTTTCTATCTCTAAGGTTTCTATAATTTTTTCTGTTATCAATAATCGAATAAATCTCTAAATTCACACAAACGTAAAGCCGAACAGACAGATTAGAGTGCTCTATGTTGTTTGTCTTTATCTTAAGTCGTTTAAGAGGTATTCAAGTTTAAAAATCCGTCGATTTTGCGTTACCCTGAATGACAGAGACTATTTGATAAAGGGACTTAAGTTTGACTTTTGATACTCGTATCTTTGTATTAGGATCACAGGAGAGCGAAATGGTATGGAAATTGATTTTACGTTACCCAAAATCATACAGTATCTTCATTAAGAAACCTAATTTTGCCGTTATTTTTAATCGCACGTTTTATCTATTTTAATGGTGAATTTTGTGCGCCTATTATTCAAATCCACACAAATACTACACTGAGTGGACAGTCCAGAGACCTCTTTGTAGATCATTTTTATCTTGAACTGTTTAATAGTTGTTTTAAAACTTTGTAGTTGATAGGCAACACAGAATACACTAATCTGTAATGTTGGTTGCCGTTATTTACAAAAGCCCAATCTATCGGCAAACAGTAAAAACAATAAATTTAGCTATTCGCTAATAAATGGCTTTTGTTAATTTTGTCAGCCATATTCCCACTGCTTTTATGCATGTTTAGAGGCAAGTGCTTTAAAATTAACAAATTTGATACGAAACAAATTTTCTAGTGGCAACAGGAGCAAAGAATAATAAGAAAAGTTTTAAATATAAATTTTTATTTTTGACAAAAAACAATATAAATACAAAAAATACAAGAATTATTAATTAAAAACAAAAAAAGAACGATTAAAAATAACATCCAACGAAAGATTTTAAAGTTGATAGTTCGCCATATTTGCTTGCTCGGACCAGGCAGGATATGTTGCTCCATCCATATCAGTTGCCACATCATTACCGGGCGCTAATCTATGGGATCTTCCACCTATCGGAGCTCCGCATTCATAGCAGCTATTTAAAAAGGTCAATTAAACAACAAAAAATAGGAAATGATAGAAATATCCAAAACTATGATAACGAAGAGCACATCGCATATATAATGTGGGAAACACTGTATAATAAAATGCGACGTGCTCTTTCAGCATGTCGTTAACAACAATATCTGAAAACGCTTTGCTGTTAATGACGTGCTTGAAGAGCTCGTCGCCATTTAATAAATAATGTGGGACATTCTGTTTAATAGAATGCGAAGTTGTCTTCGAGCACGTCGTTAACAACAATATCTTAATATACACTCTGTTGTTAAATCGAGCACGTCGCCGTCTAATGTGGGACACACTGTATGATAAAAGCGACGTGCTCGAAGAGCACGTCGTTAACAACAATATCTAAATACACTTTGTTGTTAAAGACGTGTTATTCAAGCTTGTTGCCGTCTATTATATAATGTGGGACACACTGTATAATATATTGTGATATTCTCTTAGAAGAGCATGTCGCCATCAAACATATAATGCGGGACACACTGTATCGAAGAGCACGTTGTTAACAATATCTGAATAAAATTTGCTGTTAACGACGTGCTCGAAGAGGACGTCGCCGTCTAATATATAATGTGGGGCATACTACATAATAGAATGCGACGTGCTCTTTCAGCACGTCGTTAACAACAATATCACAAAACACTTTGCTTTTAATGACGTGCTCGAAGAGCTCGCCGCCATAAACAAATAATGTGGGACGTACTGTATAATATCTTAATACACTTTGTTGTTAAATCGAGCACGTTGCCGTCTAATATAGAATGTGGAACATACTGTATGCACGTTTTTTACAACAATATCTGAATACACTTTGCTGTTAACGACATGCTCGAAGAGCTCGTCGCCGTCTAATAATGTGGAACACACTGTATAATAAAATGCGACGTGCTTTTCGAGGACGTCGTTAACAAAAATGTATAAATACACATTGTTGTTAACTACGTGCTCGAAGAGCACGTCGCTGTCTAATAAATAAAGTGGGACACCATGTATAATGCGACGTGCTTTTCAAGCACGTCGTTAACAACAATATTTGAATACACTTTGTTGTTAACTACGTGCTCAAAGAGCACGTCGCCGTCTATGTGAGACATACTGTATAATAGATTGCGACGTGCTCTTCGAGTACTATATATTGTCATTAATAAATAAAACATGATTGCAAACCAGGAAAAAGATGAATTTTATGCAAAACTGATATGAATACTACGAGAGATAATCTGACAAAAAAGTACTCGTATTAAGACTCTGCAACAACAGGATATAAAACGAAATAGAAACAGCTAAAATAAAAAAAGAGGACTGGAGGTAAGAAAAACATTGTACCTGGACTCTTGATTGGCCCCGCCACACTCTCCTATCGCATATGGATGTCCATTTGGGCACTTATACCAATGTCCTGTTGTCAATCCCACAGCTTTTACAATTTCAAATTTTTCAGCGTCGGTCAGAGCAATTTTTGAAGACGTTAGTACTTTTAACTCTTCCAACGAATTTTTAATGATCTTGTCTTGATCATCGTCGTATCTGCCGTGTTTATTCAATAATAGAATGGTGGCGTCAACCTAAAAATACGTTTTTTTAGTTTTATAAGATAAAACTGAACCAATTTATTAAACAAAATGAGGGTTATTTTATAATGGCGTATTGATGCCACAAAGAATATTTTAAAAAAGTAAAAATTTTGAGAAAATAATATATTCTGTAGTAAACCTGTTTTACATTATCTTTTAAAATGAATTTAATTTTCCAAATGCAAAATATTTGATTGAATTGTCCCTACCCTATATTTAAAATTATTGAATTTGAATACTAAATTAAAAAAAATATTTTGTGGCACTAATATATCGTACTAATTAGAAATAGATTTGTACAAATTTTACCTTAGCTTGGACACCCGGCTGTTGCAAATAGGGCTTGTAACCGAGTCGTTCAAATTGAATAAATCTGTGCAATCGATTTATTTCCAAACCGATATCGATGACCTCTTGTTCGGTAATGGAATCGATGTGTTTTCCCAAAAATTCCATTATTAAACTAACATGGTTATTAGACAGCGTCAAATCCAACAAACACAATTTTTCTTTCTCCAGAGGCTCCATTACCAACTGCATCAATTCCACTTTCATCCGAATGGCGTCCAAATCCATTTTGTCGATGTTCTGTCGACGATTGTCTTTCGAACTTAATAATCTATCAGTCAAAGTCGTTTTAATCTTTACGAAAGCAGAATTTCCTGAAAATGTTAAATACATTAAACGAATTGCAAGTAAAAAGCCACTCTTAAGCCGTTATAAGATTCAAAATAAGTAAAAAAAAAGACCGAGGAACACCGGACATAATTTATTACGTTTTGCTTTCCTATAAAGATGTTTGAGTCAGGAAAATGGAATTTTAATAGAAATAATTTAAAGGGACTAGTGTTACGAAAGGCCGTTTTTCTATTCCCGGAGTAGACATGAAAACAAAAGAGTAGAAGAAGATCAAACATTTATTTTGCAATATAATTTTGCTTCTGAATAGTATTATATATTTTTGATTCAATATAAAAATATATAAGTTCACACAGCCAACAGTTTCCTTTAATATTAACTTTCCTTCAATGAGCTTGCAAGACTATTATAAGAAATAATGAGTCTTTATAAGGTTCTTCAATAAATCCGAATGGAAGACAAGCTTACAAATCGGTTCTCTTAGGCTCATTCGACATTTTAATTTAAATTTAAAAAAAATGTTTATCAATACAATAAAGAAACTTTCAAGTCATAGCCCAGGAGGTAGTCACTGTCATACGGGATGGAGATCTCATGGAGATATGCAGAAATCTGAGATCCACGGATGTCCGGTGGAGATACGGGAAGATCTTATGGATATACGAGGAAATTCAAGAACTTCGGCTGCAGCCGTGTAGAATCAGAAAGATATAATTGCCTGAAAGCATCATTTTAACTGGTTTCGCGGCCCCCAACCAATCGAAATCGGTCTATTTTCAGCTGTATTGTATACAAACAGGTCAGCTAGTGGTGTGCTTAAGAATATACTTGTTGTAATTAAAAAAAAAAAAACAACTTTAAAATCGTGCAGATTCCATTAAAAATAAGTTTGATGATTTTCTCATAGATCCCATCACTAGATCTTGACTCAAAATTCAATCAAGTAACGAAGAAAACAAGGTGGTTGTTGATTTACATGAAGAGAAAAAAAGTCTGAAAAGGGAACTACTATAAACAGTTAAAGCCATAGTAGATTTTAATATCGACTAAACCCAAAAGTTAAAACACCTTAACAAGTTGTGAATAAAATACGAGATCGTTTACTGAAGAGGAATTTTTAATGTCACATTATCGACCTTGTAAGAGTTCCGAATAGGATTGACAGATCTTGTGAAGTGAATTGTAGCACATTTATTGACATGTAGGGATGATTGATTTAGTTTGCACCACATGGTGAAGGCTAAATTGTCACTAGACTTTATGCTAAAAAACTTAAAGTGGTCTGCAAATAACAGGCAGTCACTGTTTTGAAAACAATCTGCTGCATCGTCCAGAAATATTAAAAATTGAACAGGGCCAAAATAAGATCCTTGTGGAACACCTGATGTCACTGATACTTCACTAGATACTGAGTTTTGCACAGTAACACGCAGAGAGCAATTACTTAGGTAAGAGTTGAACCATTTAAGATACTTATTCAAAATACCAATGTCTGCTAGTTTTTTAAGAAGCACTTCATGGCAAACATTGTATAGATAGCATCAATCTGATAACCAGCTTCGAGAGATAAAAGTAAGTACTTTGGATACACGCCAAAATTTGTTGCAGTTGAGTGATAGAACCGGATAGAACCCTTGTTGATATGGAGAAATGTAATTTAGGTATCACAGAGATTACAGAAATGCCTTGATAATCTTTTGTCAGTTTTGTCTTCCTTTTGGCACCAAGTTAGATAATTTTCAAACAGTAGGAAACGTTCCACTATCAAACGATTTTTGAAAAATTAGACTTGAAGGCAAAGAGTGAGTCGCAGGAACCCTTTAATACAGATGGTGGTATACCATCAGGACCTGCATTTTTGGCTGCATCTAGATGTTTAATTTTTGATAACACTTCTTCTACTGTAAATATATGAAGAGATAGAATCGATGAAAATGGCACTTATGGAACTAAAGTAAAATTGAATGAAAATGATCCATGAAAATCCAAATGATCTCCTTGGAGACCCCTGGAGATCCAATAATATTCATGGAGAACTATGGAGTTACAATAAGATTTCCACCAATGGAGATTTTCTGTCGTAAAAAGACGCAAGTTATGTAAAATAATTGTCTCAATTCATTATAATTAAAAACAATTTAGAGAAATAAATTATTCCCAAGAAAGACGTGACTAACATGAAATTTTTTTAATAACTTTTTCTTATATCAGCTCCTCCACCTCATAAAATTTGTGTCCAATAACTACATTATAATTAACATAGTAGTAGTTTTTTTTGTAAATCTGTAAGTAAGGCTAAAATGGATATAATACTGCGTGTAGATTTATTAGAAACATTTTAGATAAATTGTACCAAGAAAAATTGCATGAAACTTACCAATCCCAATTGTCTTTCTTGTTTTAATATTTAATCTTGAAGCCCTTAATGAAGAAATGGTCGTCGTTTCTCTATTACCCTCATACATCTTCGACAATTTCTCCTGTATACGGTATTTAATTATTTCAATTTCTTTCGGTTTTCCGTAGAACTTCATTTTAACATCTTTTAAATCCTTCATGCTCTTTTTGACGTAGTCGCTGTATCGGGCGCTTTTTTTGATGACAGTTTTACATTTCGGACATACTAACGGTTGTATTTTCTGATCTTCATCGACATTTCCTCGATTCTGATCTAACCAATTCATCATACCGGTAGATTCCATAACATGGCCGCAATCTAGTCAAATAATAAAATATTGTATACCTGCGTTATTGGCTTCATAATGAACTATTAGTTTTACTTATGTTTTAATATGAAATAAAATTAATGTGATATTTTTACTTTCCTATCTGTATACAGATATAAGGAAAGTATAGGAATCATGATTTTTTTCGACCTCGAGTACACACTCGTGTGTGTGTGTGTGTGTGTGTGTGTGTGTGTGTGTGTGTGTGTGTGTGTGTGTGTGTGTGTGTGTGTGTGTGTGTGTGTGTGTGTGTGTGTGTGTGTGTGTGTGTGTGTGTGTGTGTGTGTGTGTGTGTGTGTGTGTGTGTGTGTGTGTGTGTGTGTGTGTGTGTGTGTGTGTGTGTGTGTGTGTGTGTGTGTGTGTGTGTGTGTGTGTGTGTGTGTGTGTGTGTGTGTGTGTGTGTGTGTGTGTGTGTGTGTGTGTGTGTGTGTGTGTGTGTGTGTGTGTGTGTGTGTGTGTGTGTGTGTGTGTGTGTGTGTGTGTGTGTGTGTGTGTGTGTGTGTGTGTGTGTGTGTGTGTGTGTGTGTGTGTGTGTGTGTGTGTGTGTGTGTGTGTGTGTGTGTGTGTGTGTGTGTCTGTATCCACCATAACTCATGAACCAATACAAAGAAAAACACCAAATTTTAAACTTAAGCTTTATTCCAGCGTCTAATGAACTGATTAGATTTTGGGCAGAGTCGGAACATCTAGGGGGATACTTTATAGGTGGTCATTTTTATATTTTATGGAATATATCTCCGCAAAATCCGACGCACGAATGTCAGCATTTTTTGATTCTTTTAGGACATGGAAGGGTGCAGGGCTCGACCGAGCACAATTCTCCGCAACGTTTTTTACAGCGCTGATGCTCACATTTTCTCTGGCAAATTTCTTTACACCTAATTAAAAACAATCTTTTTTACTAACTCGTATATCAAAGTTCTGTATCCACCATAACTCATGAACCGATACAAAGAAAAACACCAAATTTTAAACTTAAGCTTTATTCCAGCGTCTAATGAACTGATTAGATTTTGGGCAGAGTCGGAACATCTAGGGGGATACTTTATAGGTGGTCATTTTTATATTTTATGGAATATATCTGTTATTTACGTTTGGAGAAGAAAATTCTTCAAATAAAAGTTACTTTTAATATAATTATCTATAATTTTTGTTCTATACAAAATTTTCCTAAAATGGTCCGTATTCGAGAAATTTGACAAAATGTAAAAAAAATATTTTTTTATAAAAATTGTTCAAATAAAAGTTGTTTGTAATATAATTCTCTATAATTTTTATTCTATACATAATTTCTCTAAAATGGACCGTATTCGAGATATTTGAGAAAATGTGTAAATTTCGAATTTTGAAGAAAACTCAAAAACGGATAAAGAAAAAAACATTAAATTTTAAACTTAAGGTTTATTTCGGCCTGACGTGAAATGATTAGATTTTGGACAAAGTCGGAACATCTAGGGGGTACTTTATGGGAGGCCGTTTTTACATTTTATGGAATATATCTGTTATTTATGTTTGGAGAAGAAAATTCTTCAAATAAAAGTTACTTCTAATATAATTATCTATAATTTTTGTTTTATGCAAAATTTTCCTAAAATGGTCCGTATTCGAGAAATTTGACAAAATGTAAAAAAAATATTTTTTTATAAAAATTGTTAAAATAAAAGTTGTTTGTAATATAATTCTCTATAATTTTTATTCTATACATAATTTCTCTAAAATGGACCGTATTCGAGATATTTGAGAAAATGTGTAAATTTCGAATTTTGAAGAAAACTCAAAAACGGATAAAGAAAAAAACATTAAATTTTAAACTTAAGGTTTATTTCGGCCTGACGTGAAATTATTAGATTTTGGACAAAGTCGGAACATCTAGGGGGGTACTTTATGGGAGGCCGTTTATATATTTTATGGAATGTATCTGTTATTTATGTTTGGAGAAGAAAATTGTTCAAATAAAAGTTACTTCTAATATTATTATCTATAAATTTTGTTTTGTCAAAATTTCCTGAAATGGTCCGTATCCGAGAAATTTGACAAAATATGCAAAATTCTGATTTTTATGAAAATTGTTGAACTTAAAGTTGTTTGCGATATCTATCTCTATATCTCTATAATTTTTGTTTATACATGATTTTTCTAAAATGGACCGTAATGGAAAAGTGCTAAATTTAAATTTTTCAGTATTTTCGTTTTCAATGAATATCTATAGAAAATGGTTCGAGGTAGATGTATGTGGACAATGTATATACAGTTCATCAAATTTCTAGAGGCTTTCGACGGCTAGACAGAGAAAGCACTACTGACAGGCATCCCGACGGATTTACGCAATGAAAGTACACTCTGCGCATCAAGTATTTCACTATTTCATTCAGACGTAAATGTCAGATGTAAATTTCGCTAAAACATTTCTTTTATTTTCGTTTGTGTTTTTTGCTCATTACAGTTTAATAGAACCTAAGTATGGAGTTTAATAGCAAATTAAGAGGCCGCGTGATTAACAGTCAATCTCGCGAAATAATAGCCAATGTTATAGAGTTTATGAGAAGAGAAGGAAACTTTAATTCACCTTCAATACCATTTAAAAATGTAAATGATCGTGTTGCTGCAGCCACAGGAGTATCTAAAAATACTGTCGTCCGCATTTCTGGAGAGAAAAAAATAATCGATAACCGTGAGATATCGGAATTTTCATCACCAAGAAAAACCATTAAAAAACCAAAAACAGTTAATGATATAGATGAAGCTGCACAAGAATCAAATTTTATTTTTTTATTATTAGATAGCTATTTTTGTTTCTGAGTTGTGTTCATTTACAGGCTCAATTTTTTTCCGTTTCTCCTTTTTGATTTTATATGGGGTTTCAAGTTGTTTTTGACTTATTTCGACGTAAATCACAACAACACACTTTTTTAATAAAGCAAACAAGTGTTAAGAGGTATATGTACGTGTAAACTACAATTACAAAAAATTGATATGAAACCCATGAAACCACCAACAAAAATGTAAAGCTAGCTTCCGTACTAGAACATGGTGTCATTCGTCGAGATAATTTATCGTTTTGTTTAATAGATCAAGAAATGTAAATATTCCCCTGTTATTTTTTATAAAATTATAAGAGAAATAAATTTTTTTCTAAATAGTATAGTTTATTATTTTGTAGAAAAACAAAATTTCGAAAATTTTAGTAATGTTTCAGAAACAACCGTTATTAATAATAGGTACCATTTTCCTTAATAAGGTAGAAATAAAATATAAACTATTTCCACGATTTACAAAGGCCTACAAAAAAATTATAGGTATTTTCCGCTATCCTATAAAATTTATATTTTCTGACTCAATTTCAAAAGGTTGAAGGAATTCCAAAACACCTTTTATGGCATAATAATTATTTTCAATTCTACATACTATCTTTAGTTGCTTTTAAAAACGTTCTAAGAAAGTCCAATCAGACCAATTTAATCCCTAAACTATTCCACACTTTTAAAATTTAATTACCTAAAAATATTAAAAACTATTTAAAATAACTTGTTTAGCAAACTGTACAATAGCTATCTTAGTCACACGTAGCGCGTTCTCTGTCTGGGCGTCGAACACCTCTAGAAATTTGATGAACTGTATTTAGTTTAGCCTCTAAAATTTATAGAGATGCTGCAATAAGTTGTACAAAATAACCGGAAAAAGCCTATAATAACTAGATAGGAAAGTCATGTGTTGGACACATCAGATTTTTTAATATTAAACAGAAGCATATAGAATATTTCGTTAGCGTTCATTTATTACGAAGATTTCCTTAAGAGACTACAATAAAATGCCCCCTCTTAAAATGTGAAAGTCCAAAAACCCATTATTTTTTATGATGATTAGCTACAAATCTAATTTTCAAGTTCGTACCTTTAAAAAAATCGATACTACCATACAAACTTTTTTTTTCTATAAAAAAACTGCCTAAAAATGTCGTCTACGTCTCATTTTTACTTTTTCAGTGGTCTTTCGTCACATGTAAAATTTCGCAATACATATTTCGCTGTTTTGAGTACCAAGCCTTAACACGTCAATTTTTTCAAGAGCTAGAAACATTATTTTTGGGAATCCCACCATAATTTGCCGAGTCACGTTTGAGGAAAGAAATAACAATTTTAAATTCGCTTGAGAAAACTAAATAGAATTTATTATATTTACTATGTTTTACCTAGTAGCAAGACGAATCTAGCATCCTCATCATCTTCGGTACCGAAAAAGATTTCGGTAAGTTCATCGGCATCGCAAAGTCTGCACAATTTTGGACAAGGATCTCCGCAAAATCCGACGCACGAATGTCCGCATTTTTTTATTCTTTTAGGACATGGAAGGGTGCAGGGCTCGACCGAGCACAATTCTCCGCAACGTTTTTTACAGCGCTGATGCTCACATTTTCTCTGGCAAATTTCTTTACACCTAATTAAAAACAATCTTTTTTACTAACTCGTATATCAAAGTTCCTGGAAATAAAAATACATTTTTGTCGGCAAGATTCATGGCGCAGGTTCGATTACCACCGGGAACGCAGTTTTTTATGCTCTTTATTAACCGACAAAAACGTTCCTTTTATTTTCAAATAAGACGAAATAATGTATAGCAAGTACTTACGGAGTGCATGGATCACCGCACAATTTTTTACATTTGCTGTGCACACATCTGTATTCGCACGGTTTTCTGCAAGGCTTGCAGGCTTCCCTGCAAGGTATTGGGCATTCATGATTGCACACTAGAATGACACCGCATTTTTCTTGGCATCTTTGGTGGAACCGGCCATGGTAACATTGGCTGCAGCTACCGGAACATTTATGTTTGCATGTCAATTGAGCGTTACAAGGTTCCGTGCAATTTTCGACGAGAATCTTGTCGTCGTCTAGAAATAAATTGATTTAGTTGCCTTTAAGATTTAAAATGTTCTTAGCAGAAAGATAAGGCTTTAAAGAGATTTTTTTTTTCATATTTTTCTTTATTTTCTCAGCTTTTCCTTGGTTTGTTTTTACTTTGGAGATACATTTTTTAATATCGTATTTAAGATTATATTTTAACATTTCCTAAAAATCGCACAGTACCTAATATTATCTAATCCGATCAAAAACAAAAACTGTAAGCACACAAATTTTCAAAAAATATCCATATACTAGATATAACTTAAATCGTACAAGCAGCAAATGAGCAAATTTTGAAATAAAGGCAATTTTTTTTTAGTTTTTTTTACAAAAATTTTTAAGTGAAAACTTTTATAGGCACGTGGGGCGTTTTTCGGATGGATAAAACCTTCTAAGATCGCGGCAACACATACTAATGTTAATAGTATACCTATAGCTATAAGTATAACATGCGCTTGGCCGAAGCAATTTTGTAGGAAATAAAATTCTCTACAAAAGAGCTCTCGTTTGATTTTTCCATGAAGTTCATATTTATGAAGATATTCTTAATAATAAACTCATTAACACAATAAAATCAAAATTTTCAGATTTTTTTTCAAATAAGTCTACTTTAAAAGATATTTTGAAAAAACTACAATTTTATAAAAAAATAAACTTCATTCGGCTTGTTCTTGTTCAAACAAAAAAAAATCCCCGTATTTTTTCATCAAATGGAAGGTTAGCATGTATCAAAAAAAATTTTTGGGAAGAAAATTTTTGTAAATGAAAATTAAAAAAAAAAATGTCAAAAAAAAATTGTGAAGAAAAAATTGTAAAAAAAGAAAAAAAATTTATCAAAAAATAAAAAAAAAAAAATCGAAAAAAAAAGTAAAAAAAAAATTTAAAAAAGGCAAACAAATTTTAACCAAAAAAATGTTTGTAAAGATATACTTATTAACATTTTAAAAAAAGGCAAACAAATTTTAACCAAAAAAATTTTTGTAAAGAAAAATTTTTGTAAAAATATTTTTGTAAAGATATACTTTAACGTGTCAAAAAAAAATTTCTGAGGAAAAATTTTTGTAAATAAAAATTTTTGTAAAAAAAATTTTGTAAGGAAAAATATTTGTAAAAAAAAAAATTGTAAAAAAAAATTTGTAAAGAAAAAAAAAATTTGTAAGGAAAAAAATTTACCAAAAAAAATTTGTAAAAAAAAATTTTGTCCAAAAAAAATTACCAAAAAAAAGTCGAAAACAAAATTTAAAAAAAAAAATGTGTGTAAAAATATACGATTAACATGTGTCAAAAAAAAATTATCAAAAAATATTTGTCAAAAAAAATTTTTATCAAAAAGAACTGTCCAAAAAAATGTTTGTCAAAAAAAATTTTAACCAAAAAATTGTCAAAAAAAATTTGTAAAAAAAAATGTTTGTCCATCATACTTCCACTGCTCGCAAAGCGCTTGAATACTTATAGCTATAGATATACTATTAACATAAGCAAAAAAAATATCGTAAAAAAATGTAAAAAAAAATTTGTAAACAAAAAATTTGGAAAAAAAATTTTGTAAAAAAAAATTTTGTCCATTCACTCATAGTTCTCGCCAAGCGCATGTCTTATTAACCTGCAAAAAAACATTGTAAAAAAATATTTTTGTAAAGATATACTAATAACATTAACATGTAATAAAAAAAAATTTTATAAAGAAAAATTAAAAAAATAATTGTATATAAAAATTTAAAAAACAAAAAAAATTTTGGAAAGAAAATTTTTGTAAATAAAAATTAAAAAAAATTGTGAAGAAAAAAATTCTAAAAAAAAATTTCCAAAAAAATTTTTGAAAAAATAAAATTAAAAAAAAAATATATTAAAAAATTTTTGTAAAAAAAATATTTTTGTAAGGATATACTATTAATATTAATGTGTCAAAAAAAAATTTAAGAAAAATTTTTGTCAAAAAAAAAAGTTTTAAAAAAGGCAAATTTTACCAAAAAATTTTTGTAAAAAAAAATATTTTTGAAAGGATATACTATTAATATTAATGTGTCAAAAAAAAATTTAAGAAAAATTTTTGTAAGACAAAATTTTTGTCAAAAAAATTGTCAAAAAAGTTTTAAAAAAGGCAAATTTTACCAAAAAATTTTTCTAAAAATTTGTAAAAAAATTTTGTTGTAAAGATATACTATTAAAATTAGCATGTGTCAAAAAAATTTTTGGAAAGAAATTTTTTGTAAATAAAAATTAAAAAAATTGTAAAAAATGAAAAAAAATTTAACAAAAAATTTTTGAAAAAAAAAAAACGAAAAAAAAAAAAATTGTACAAAAAATTTTTTGTAAAAAGATTTAGGTACTATTAATATTAATGTGTCAAAAAAATTTGGCAAAAAAATTTTGTCTATTCCCTCATCTTCCACTGCTCGCCACGCGCATGTCTACTTATTTATAGCTATAGATATACATTAACATCAGCATGTTTAAAAATGTTTGGAAAGAAAATTTTTGTAAAAAATTTTTGTAAAAAATTTTTGTAAATAAAAATTAAAAAAATTGTCAAAAAAAATTGTGAAGAAAAAAATTCTAAAAAAAAAAGAAAAAAAAAATTACCAAAAAACTTTTGAAAAAATAAAATGAAAAAAAAAAAAAAAATTGTATTAAAAAATTTTTGTAAAAAAAATATTTTTGAAAGGATATACTATTAATATTAATGTGTCAAAAAAAAATTTAAGAAAAATTTTTGTGACAAAATTTTTGTCAAAAAAATTGTCAAAAAAAGTTTTAAAAAGGCAAATTTTACCAAAAAATTTTTGTAAATAAAAATTTTTCTAAAAATTTGTAAAAAATTTTTATTGTAAAGATATACTATTAAAATTAGCATGTCAAAAAAATTTTTGGAAAGAAATTTTTTGTAAATAAAAATTAAAAAAATTGTAAAAAATGAAAAAAAATTTAACAAAAAATTTTTGAAAAAAAAAACGAAAAAAAAAAATTGTACAAAAAAATTTTTTGTAAAAAAGATATAGGTACTATTAATATTAATGTGTCAAAAAAATTTGGCAAAAAAATTTTGTCTATTCCCTCATCTTCCACTGCTCGCCATGCGCATGTCTACTTATTTATAGCTATAGATATACATTAACATCAGCATGTTTAAAAATGTTTGGAAAGAAAATTTTTGTAAAAAATTTTTGTAAATAAAAATTAAAAAAAATTGTGAAGAAAAAAATTCTAAAAAAAAAATAACCAAAAAATTTTTGAAAAAATAAAATAAAAAAAATAAAATAAAAAAAAAATATATTAAAAAATTTTTGTAAAAAAAATATTTTTGTAAGGATATACTATTAATATTGTGACAAAAAAAAAATTTAAGAAAAATTTTTGTGACAAATTTTTTGTCAAAAAAAAAAAATGTCAAAAAAAAAAAGTTTTAAAAAAGGCATATTTTACCAAAAAATTTTTGTAAATAAAAATTTTTCTAAAAATTTGTAAAAAATTTTTGTTGTAAAGATATACTATTAAAATTAGCATGTGTCAAAAAAATTTTTGGAAAGAAATTTTTTGTAAATAAAAATTAAAAAAATTGTAAAAAATGAAAAAAAATTTAACAAAAAATTTTTGAAAAAAAAAACGAAAAAAAAAAAAATTTTATCAAAAAAAAAATTTTAAAAAACGGCAAACAAATTTTAACCAAAAAAAGTTTTGTAAATAAAAATTTTTGTAAATAAAAAATTTTTGTAAATAAAAAATTTTTGTAAATAAAAAATTTTTGTAAAAAAAATTTTGTAAGGAAAAATATTGGTAAAAAAAATTTGTAAAAAAAAATTTTTTAAAAAAAATTTTGTCCAAAAAAAAATTTGTTAAACAATTTTTGTAAAAAAAAAGGCAAAATATTTTTTTTATATATGTAAAAATTTTTTTGCACATTATTTTTTGGCCATTTTTTGTCAAATTTTCTTTTATTCAATTTTTTGAACAAATTTTTTTTTTACATTTTTTTGGCATTTTTTACAATTTTTTTTGACAAAATTTTCCCAGCTCGCGACACCACATAATAGTATATCTATAGCTATAAATGTATGACTTATGCGCTACCAGGGAAGTATTTTGAGTGGATGGACAATTTTCAGTTGCAAAGTGGAAATTAAATCAAAGAAATAAATGGATATGTGTACAAGAAGACCTATATTTTTGTAATAATAACAGTAATACTGATTATTGTATGTGGCTGGAATGCAATTTTGTGACTTACTGATAGAAAACCAGTTTTAATCATTCATTCATTTTAACTTCACGCTAATTTATTTAAAGATATTTTTTTAATTTGACAGAATAGGTTAACTCTTCAAAGACAACTTATTATACTTAAGTAACTTCAAATACATTTTCCCGTAAATACTGTTGCCTGCCTTTATTTTATTATTGATTTTTATTGAATATACTTATTTTTTTTAATTTAAGCGATAAAAATATATAATTATAATAAATTAATGTTTTACTTGTTTTACAAACCAATAGACTTTTATTAAAACTAACATATATACTTTTTAATTACGAATTCTATTAAAAATTGTATTGTCAGTATAGGCAAAAATAGTACACTAGTACAAAAGTGAATTGGCGCTGCTGTCACGCACGGAGCGAATAGTATAATATTTGCGCTTGGCCAGCAGTGGAACTATATTGAGTATTATTGAGTGTATCTTTTATCAGACTCATTCTTCTGCTAGCCAAATGTAGCGTTTATCAACCTGTGATAAATATAAAAAAAGGTTATTTACTAATAAAAAAAATTAATTCACAGAAAGAAAAGCAAAATTATATTCATTCTGACATTACAAAAAATTAAATAAGTACAGTACCCGTTTAAATTAATATACTAATTAATTATTATAAATATGATTGTATCAGTAAGTACTGTCAAATGCCAAATGAAACTAATAGTAAACCCATCAGTACTAAACTAAAAGTAGTTTTAATAATAATTAGTGACTCCCTTGGGCTTGACTCACACAGCAAAGTTTTTCAAAAGAAGGTTTTATATTACAAATAGCCACTCTCAGTTCTTTGTCTATATTCAGTCAAGACCCATATTTTATCTTTAAAGCAGCTAGCGCAGAAAATCCGGCTTCGCAAAGGTAGATATGTTAAAAATGGCAATAACATATGAAATGATCTTGTTTTCAGTGAAGAAAATGCATCATCCACTCACGCCCAAAATTTTTAAATGTTAAATTTTTAAACACTTACATAAAATATTGATACTAAAAAAAATTAATGATAAAAACGAAAATTATAGAAAATCTTCTCCACCAATGTCATTTGGTAACGCTATATCTCGATAATATGTATACTTACGATCTGTTTTGAGGTGACAAGCTATTTTTGTGATTATATGGCCACACGGACTGGTGATGCAACAATCCACGATTTCTTTGCATTCTTGTGTACAATCTTCATTGCATTTTTTATCGCACACGTGCCCACAAGGCAAAAGACGAGGACATTTTCCCTTACACAATTTCCTGTTTGGTGGTTCAAAACAGTTCATTTTAATTTTGTGGTTACAATCTGGTACTATCTTTTCCACCTGTAATAAAATAATATATTACATAACTAATGTGGAAAAGGTATACTTTCCGAGTTGTGTATCCTATTTTTCCTATGATCACACGACGTTATTATAAAATAAACAAAATATGCGTTAAGTAATCCAAAATATAGTAGTGCAAAATGTGTTGAATAACTTCCGAGTTTTAAGGTGTTTCGGTATATTTTTTATTTGTTTTGTACCTGTTTAAATAAACAAACGTAGTTTTCAGTGTTCCTCATTGAAAAGACAATAAAAACAAGAATAAATAAAATAAAAAAATGAAATAACCAAAAATTATTCACTTCTGCTTTTTGTAAAACTTAAAATAGCACATATTAAACAAGTTGGCTAGGTAACTGCGTTAATTATCAGTCAAAATATTTTTTTAATGTGAATTTGACAGAAATCTGATGTCAGTAGACAACTTTGATATGGGTTATTTTTAAGTCTTTAAATAAGCAGAAATGCTTGGCCTACGACGTTTAATATTATTCTCATATGGATCCAATTTTATGACACACACTGTAAAAATTACCTGTTCTTTACATGGCTCACAAGGATCGCCACAAGTTTCTTTGCATTTGTGACCGCAATCCAAAATTTTCTTGCAGCGTTTCTTGCACTCTATATCCTCGGGATTTATGCTGCAACCCATGTCGAACATGTGACCGCAGGAGCGCGTCTTGCGCACTGGTGCTAGACAGTTTCCGCACTCTTCGTAACAGAATTTCGGGCAAATATGAGGTTCTTCTGCGGTACAACCTTTGCAACTTTTATCGCATTGCTTGCGACAGGAATACTACAAAAAATGATATGTTATTGTGAGATACTTAGTATACCAACAATATAAAATAATATGAATAAAGTAAAATGCATTGCAACTATAGTCAAAGAGTAAGAATAGCTAGAGAGGGCAGTCAGAACCAAGACACTATAAAAAGAAGGTATGATATTGCGTGACGGTGACCTACTCTGGTGTGGAGGTGGGAGTAGTAGAAGTAGTAAATTGTGGGAGCAGAGCGGATAAAGATAAAATTCATTTTTTTATTGTTCAAACAACGAAATTTCTACAAACAAATGATTTATGTGTGTTGTCACTTACATTCAGATGATCGGGATCGCTTATGAAGTGACATTTCTTCTCGCAGGAATGTCCGCAGGGTTCCACTCTAGTGTCACAAGGGAAAGGACAGTTAAAAGTCTCCTTGTCAGCGGAACAAGGTATCATAGTTATGTGATCGCATGGCAACGTTGTTTCGACAGTTATGGTGCATTTATACGTTGTCGGATCCAGATGGCATGCAATGTTGACCGTGTGGTCGCACGGTAATTGTCTTTTTACTACGTATGAACAACGGCCGCAACGTTCGTAGCACAATTTGGAACATACGTGAGTTTGATCGTCGCAAAGGATTCTGAAAAGAAAGAAAGTGTAATTATAAATAATAACAAGATATTCCATTCCACTCACTTTTCACAAGGCTCTCTACAATCGTAGTTTGCGTGCTCCCTGTCTTCGATGTGACACAATCTCGTACAGACATGGCCGCAGTTCAACGGCGTTTCGCATAGCAAATCGCAGCCGCCTTCAGGTAATTTAGCAAAATCGTCAGCGGTCGATACTCTAGTAACCTTATGCCTATGAATCACGCATCGTAGCGTCAGATGTGTTCCTATAGCTTGTTGTTGTCGCAGGGTTTCTTGAATTTTTGGCCATATCTAAATAGATGAAAGGTCGAAAACGATATAAGCAACGCAATAAAAAAGGGGAGACGCGAATAAATCGAAATTAAAACAGAAACTTAAGTGTAAAGGTTAAAGAAAAGGTCCTTTATTTCTCACAAGTCAATTTATTGGCGACCGGTTTCGAAGTTGTCACTTCATCATCAGGCACACCTAAATGGAATGTCAAGGAGTCAGTTGTAATAAAAACAATTATAAAAGCATGAACGGACTTTAACATATACAAAATAACAGAAAAAACACAAAAGAAAGTTAAACAATAACATTGACTCACCTTGACTAATTCCATAAAGGAAGCGCTACAAAAAGTTTAACAGAACGAGTTAAAAAAGTCATGTGTAATAAGTATTTTAAAAAAAAAAAAAAAAATGTTTAATGTAGGTTAGGTTAAACCACCAGATGTCTTTTTGAATAAAATAATTAATTAAAACACATTTGAGACAATTATTAACTAAACAACACAAAATAGTTTTACAAGCACAAACAGTTTAAAAATTTTTAAGGAAATAATGTTAATTACTGAAAGTAAAAAGTAAAAAAGTAAAAATTATCAGACTGTCAAGACATCTATCTAGATTTTTTAACGAATCAATGCAGTAAACTGTAAATTTTAAATTAGCGGATAAATAGTGTACTAACGGAGGTGTTATTTACTGAAAGTGAGTATAGGTGGCGATGACAAAATTTATTGAAAGTAAAATATATTAAACTGAGAATGAGAAAGCAAAAAAATTTTTATACTAACAAGAAAAATAGAACACTAAACAAGAAAATATGAAAATTCATAGGTAAAAAGGGAAATTTGAAGCAGATAATCAAAAAGAAAATTACTGTTACAGGAAACGGAAAATAGGTTGACAGTACGAATGTCAAAAAAGAAAAGTCAAATTTTGGCGTATGACAACCACGTGGGAGAATTTGAATAAGCTAAAAAAATTTTAATAAGATGCGAATGGGCAAAAATTAATGGAAAGAAAATCTAAATTGGGAGAGTTAATTGTGGTAAGTAACTGACTGAAGATCAAATGAGTGGGGGTAAAAGTCTGAAAATAATTTAAATAAGCGCAGAGAACGTTGGGGTACTAATAAATTGAATTTGTGCATTCAGAGAGCAGGAGGGGCCAGATTTAATATTTTTTAAAATTTCCAGGTTCTCAAAGTTATTCAGAAGGAATTTATTAGAAGTCATATGCAAAATGTCGAAGCCAATGCTAGAATCAAAATCGTGACCAGTGTCTAACAAATGAGCAGCAAAGTGAGAAAAACCAGTAGTGTTAGTGTTAAGACAGCGTGTGTGCTCTTTCAGGCGTATTTTAAAATTACGAAAGATCCTTCCCACATATGAGCATGGACAGTTAATCCCTACTACTCACATATGGCTACCCTCACTCCAAATAAAACAGAAACATTTGAAGATGTAGTTAAAAAATTAAAGAATACAGTTAGATGGTTGGTTTGGGATATATCTGGAAGGCTATAAATAAAAAGTGAATATGGCGGCAAAAAAATGAGAATAAAGCAATAATTAGAGTAAAAAAACTATAAGCGTTATAACTATAGTCTATTTTTATGTATGAGAGAGTAATAAAACAGCATTTCTAATGCAAAACTTAGTACGGTCATTTTAAATATTTTTACAGAATAATCTAAATATTTCCTAAAATTGTAATAAATGTACCTGAGCTATTACAAGTTTTGGGTCTTTTATTGGTCCTTTATAAACATAAGCTGTACAGAACAATAGAAAAAGGTTTGGACAGGCCAAAAGCCCTGTGTATTAAAGATTACATAGCCGTATCTTAAGATTATTTTCAATAAGTACCTATTTGCCAATTTTGTTTTATTTTAATTCCAAGAATTTCTTACAGTAATCGAATTATAAGTACAAATTTCACCGAAAATGCGATTATAGGTTTTCCATTTAGTAAGGAGGTCCAAGTTGTGTATTCTTGACAGTTTACTAAATGTCGTTTAGTTGCAACTTGCAAGGTGCAGTGTGAATTCTAATGTGATCATGGAAAATTTGGAAGGGCCGCGTAAACAACAAAAAATCGGTCCTTTAACAGTTAATGAAAAAACATTAATATTTAATTGTTTTAAATCATTTACAGACAAACATTTATGTAAAAGTAAGACACAGTGGAATTAGTTAGTAGTACGCTTGGTGTTGGGAAATCTACGATTTACAGACTTGTTAAAGAAGAGAAATGTGGCGAGTTTCAAACAGCACGTAAAGCTCCAGGAAAACCAAAATTTAAATTAGAAAATCTTTTGAAAGAAAGACTTCGAAGGAAAGTGCAAGCATTCTTCTTTAGAAAAGAATTTCCGACAGTAGACAAAGTTCTTGCCACGGTTCGAGATGATAAGGATTACCCTGAAATGAGTCGAAGCACACTATGGAAACTTTTAAAAGAAATAGGTTTTCTATGGAAAAAGCATTCCAGAAAGTCTATTTTAATAGAAAGAAGCGATATTGTAGTATGGAGAAGAAATTACCTAAGGACTATAAAAGAAATGAGAAACCAAAGAAGAAATATATTTTATTTAGATGAAACATGGATCAACGAGGGACATAAACCAAATAAATTTTGGCAAGATGAAACTGTTACAAGTCGAAGAAGACAGCCTTTTTTAAATAATTTAGCTACTGGTTTAAATCCACTATCAGCAAAGGGGCGCAGACTAATAATAGTACACATTGGTAGTTCAAACGGTTTTGTTAAAGGTGGTTTATTGACTTTTGAATCTACTCGTACCGGTGACTACCATGAAGACATGAATGCTGATATCTTTAAAGAGTGGTTCGAACAAATTATAGATCTTCTTCCTCAGAACTGTATAATAGTAATGGATAATGCAAGTTATCACTCGAGACTTATGGGCACAGATAAAGGGAGAAGTTTCAAGAAAAAATAATTCTTTTAAAATGAGTGATGTTAAACAGTTGTTTTTGGAGGCTGTAAATAATGTGAAGCCTGAAAACTGGGAAAAGGCAGTAAATCATACGATTAAAGAAGAAGAGAAAATGTGGAAGTTGGACAATATTACTGATGAAATGATCGAGCCACTCATTGTAAATATTGGTTCGACAGTTCATCTTCTGATTTAGATTTGTAGGTAAGAAGTAGTTTTTATATTAAAATTATTATTTATGAACGTAACGTTATTTAAAAGTCAAAGTTTAAACCCTTATACCTACATAACCCGTTTGACACAATGTTCTTAATATACCTTGTGGAAAAATAAAACATTTTAGAAAAAATTGCACTTTTTTACCTTCATCTGTTTAGGAGTTATAAGCAGGTTAATTAGGTGAAAATATAAGTGTATACTCGAGGAATAACTTCAAAAAATATTTTAACTGTCTACTAAAAGAAGTGGTACGCCTATGGATTACGAACGCTTTATTATTTTAATACTCTCTCATACATAAAAATAGACTATAGTAGAAGGTGGGTTTATCAGTGCACGGTTATGTTCCTATTTTATTTAGCTGTTATTGTAACTATAAATATTTGAATAATAACGAGGTGAAAACTAATATTGAAAATCTGATATATTTATTTATTCTTGACATCAAAATCTAATCTAGTTACTATACTACAAGTATTAGGGATATAACAGCTGTTAAATTTATCAGCTATCTGTCAAATTAAAGTAAAACTGTTTAACCTTTACTGTAAGCCAAAGTATCGGTTATTGTAACAGGCGAATTATTTGGTTAAAAGGGTAAAAGGTAACGTTATATTTAATATTAACATTGTTGAAGAAACCTATATTTCAATTTAAAACATAATTTAATACGCCTCTGGCACTTATAGAACTTTCTCGAAATTGTTACATCATTTTTAGCATAAGCCACAAATTGGTAATAGACGCCGTCATATCTGGTGTTACGTGAAATTAATTTTAAATTAATTTCAAATTTATTTTTGACAACACAACCATAACCCCTCGCTTCTCTAGATTTACAAAGTAAGCTTTGCGCGCATCGGTTCTTCTACGTTCACGCTGGGGAATTATAAAACCTGCTGCCGTTGGTTTAAGAGTTCTTTTCATTTATCGAACTCAAACTTCAATGTGCTAGTGTTGTGTCGACACATCTACTAGTTTGCAGTTATCATGAGTAGATTTAGATAATTATCGTGTATCTTTCGTGTGTGTTATCGTTGGGATAAGTGTCAGGTAATGTTTTTTCAACTTATATTTTAACGCTTTGCTGGATTTAGTTGGAAAGCCGAAAAGTCGGCCATTTGCTTTTTTTAATTATCATCATGCCGACGAGTGCCGGTTATTATTAGTGTTTTATTTTATACAGATTATAGCTACACCTAATAATATTTTTAAGCTTTCTTTGATATATACGAGGGAAGGCAATTAAATAATTGAATTACAAGTTAGTGTCTCTCGAATTATTGATAACAACTGTCCGCTATGTAATAAACCATTTATGCATGCACTGATAAACTCACCCTTATTCTAGATCTGTAACTCGGGAATTGCAAGACATAACCACGTGTTTTAAAAAGAATAAGGATCTGGTGCATTAAAAAAACCGAGCTTGCGCAAAAATAAATACAAATTTGTTGTTTTCTTACTTCGCTGTTACTGCAAAGCAGATTCATGTTGCCCATGATGTAAAGTCCGTTTTTCGCTCGGGACAGAGCTACACATACTCGATTTTCGAGTTTTAAAAAGCCGATGCTGTTTTCATGATTGTTTCTTACCAATGATAGCAAAACAATATCGCTCTCTTCGCCTTGATAATTATCCAAAACAGCTATTCTAACATCTTTAAGGATATGACTAAAATATAAACATTTTTGAATGCAGAGAGAACAAATTAAAAAATCCTAAATGTGTTAAAAAAATATGATAAATAATGAATTTATTTATGTAAATTCAGATACAGGAGTTATAAAAATAAATCAGTTATTTTTTCACACTTAAATATAAAAATCGCTACAATTAGATTTTTTGACATCGATTAAGCTCTATCATTACTGGTGTATCGCATAGAGGTCGCTACAAAAATTATATTGGTTTAATAGAATCCGTATTCAGATTTGACTTCAAATATTTAGCAAAAAAAATGCATATTTTCCGCTGCAAGTAAAATAGTATCCCTTCCTTATGAATCACCCTGTATGACAAATTTTAAAAATAATAACAAGAAGCGCTAGACAAATTTTAAGTCTAAATTAAAAAAATGGTGTGCGCTTAATTTATTCCTTAACTCACCTATAGTTCCTCCGGTGCCTCTGCAACTCGAACATCTGTCCCAGATAAGCTGCCAACACTACAATCTGATCCGGTTTGTAGCCGTTCAGTATCAAATGCTTGGCCAACTGCATCAAAAATGTCGCTTCGTGAACGTTCTTCTTGCTGTTATCCTTGCACACCTGCTCCTCCTCGTTGTGATCGATAAAAAACAAGTTGTGTTCGATCCCTTTGACGTGATCCCGTTCTTGAACAGAATCACCGTCCTCCAACACCGGATAGATCGCCGGTCTAATCAAATTGGCTATCTCCGGTCTCATCCTGTGTTGGATATTCAGCGTGTGGCATTGGATGTTGTTCAAGATCATCCGTTCGAAGAGACTGACGCCCAACTTGAACTTGGTTTCGATTTTATAATTTGCTGTGGAAGGTTTCAATTGTTGATGATCCCCGATTAAGATCAGATGTTCGCAGTGCGGTGTCAAAGCGACAATGATGTGGGATTCCAGAATTTCAGCAGCTTCTTCTACGATTACGATCGGGATTTTTAAGGCTTGCAGGGAGGATTGATGTCTGGCAGCGCAGGTTGTGGTCATACCGATTACTAAGGCCTCTAGAAAAAAATCAACGCTGGATAGAATTGGAGCAATTGTCTGAGTATGCCGGAGACCATAGGGTCTAATTACATGGATAATATTAACAATATTAAAAATAATCCAAAATAATACAAACCAAGGAAACAAATACACATGCCACATGTAACAATAGATGTAAAAAACTAATACTAAAACGACTAAACTGTGATATTTATAATTTGTTGCAGAACGATGTTACATGTGAAGTACTAGATAATTCCCCTTGATGGATGTCTAATGAAATCTCAATTTAATAGCCTTATTGTTATGGAAACAATCCCGCCGACTAATAGAAGATTAAATGTTAACGTTGCATTCTGTAATAAAGTTATAAATATCAGCCAGAACTAAAAAAATATTAGATCATTGTTAGCTTTCGCTTAATAAAGGTTTCACATAATTTTTTGTTTTTTAAAAAGTCTTTTTTGAAGTGCTCACACTTTCCCTTAATTATATTTTTTGAATTATATTATTGAGGGAAAGTATATTGTGATCGCCCAAAATTTTGACCTCGAGATTTTGATTGATTTTCACGTTTTGGAGGGCCCTGGGTCCGAAAAACATGTCTGTGTGCCTGTCTGTCTGAAATTTAAGTCAACGGTTTAGAAAAAACGGCTAAATAGATGTTCACCAAAAATCAAATGGGTAATAATCTTTAGGTATTTATAGTTCCGGTGACAATGCCACCCTATGGTATTTTTAAGTTTCCACCTCCCCATTGTCCACGAGAGTGGTGAGGGGATCTTTTTAATTTCGTCCGATTTAGTTTAAAATGGTGTGTGAGGGTATTCGATATCAATAGGTATAAGTTTATTTTTTTACTTCTACGTACGTAAATTTGATATAAATTTATGGTTTTGGTGACGATACAATAATATGACTCAAAATGAATAGGAAAAACGCCTTGCAACAATGACGCATTACCCGAAATGCAAAGATTAAGAACCATAGCCTAAGTGTGCGTGACTAAAAATTTAAAATAATTTTTATAAAAAACTTTTTAAGCACAAGCTCAAAAGTAGAAAATAATTTTTTTGATTTCTGATACCATAATAACAGCGATGGGCGCAAATTGAAACAATTTCATATTTTAAACCTACAATTTAAATTTTAGTTTGTAGAGAATGTAGGTTTAACTGTTATAAATTGTGGCTTATTCATTGGAACTGAAGAAGAATATTTCCTAGCTGCTAGTCCAGATGGTTTAATTGAAGACAACAATTTTACTATTGAAGTGAAATATCCCTTTGTCCTGAAAATCTGCCTCAATAGAACAAGGAGTAGCTGTAAAGAAAATTAAATTTCTTGCCTATGATGAGGAGGGGTTGTTGTATTTAAAAAACACTGATTCGTATTACTACCAAATACAATCGCAGCTACATCTTTTAGGCAAGGAATATTGTTATTTTATTGTCTGGTCCCCTTTAGGCTCTATCCATGTTGAAGAAATTTGCAGAGATAATGAGTTTTCAAAGAACAAAATATATTCTAAAATATATTTTTTTATTACGATGCTTATTTAAAAGAAATAATTAAAGATGTCATATAAAAACTTCTATGTGGTTTTTGAAATTCCTATATTATACCGTATTTAATTAAATTTATATAATATACATAACTTATGGTAGCAATATATTGAATAAAAATCTTAAACAGATAGGTAAAAATGATGTGCTATAAAAGAGAATTTAAAATAAATACCTAAAGATATTTTTTATTCCAACGAATTTAAACAATCTGAATTTGGATACTAGAAGAATTAAAAAAGTTGAAAAAACACTCCCAGTAAAATATTTTTTAATAAAACGATAGGCAGTATTAAATCAATTTATATTAAAATCCTCAATTATTTACTGCCACTTCCCAATATTTTAAGGGAAGAATTTATATAATCTTAGAAATACAAGGTGTCCATCTATAAATTGACACATTTTAAACGTAATTATTGACTAAAAAGAAATAAGATAAAAATGTGCGGTTTTGACCAATGAGTTTTAAATTTCGAAAAGTTTTTACCCAATCACATTAGCAAATTTTCCCATTTATACAGGGTGAGGAAAAAATTTGCCAATTTTCAACTAAAAATAACTTGACTTGTTTAAATAGAACACCCTGCATATTTTTAAACCATTCGAAAGCTGCGTTCTTTAGGTTTTAAAAAATGCCAGCATTTTAAGTTGTACAAATAATTTATAATTACATTAATTTGATTATCGCATAGCTTTTCAATTTTTTAAATTACTTATATATTTTCTGCATGTTTAATTTTTTTGGTCATTTATATACTGAAATCTTTCGGTAAGTTTAACTTATTTCAGTGTACAAACAAAAAAAAATAAAAAAAAAGCAGAAAATGCGTTCTTTAAAAAATTGATTATCTACTAGCAATATGGAAATTAATGAGAATGGACGCACTCATAAAAAGTCGCGTATCTTCTTTATTTGTGAAAATTAAACTGCAAATTTTTTTAAAAGCATAATAACTCAGCTTTCGAATGGTTTAAAAATATACATAATACATATTTAAATAAGTCAAGTTATTTTTAGTTGAAAATAGACAAATTTTTTCCTCATTCTGTATAAATGGAAAAAAAATTAATGTGCTTCGGAAAAAAACTTTTCGAAATTTGAAACTCAGTGGTTGAAAAAGTATTGAATTAAAATTATAATTAAGTTCTTAAATATCTGAAGATTATAAATATAATTATAATATTTTTGTATCTTAATCTTTTCACATTAAAAAAAAAATGTAGTTAAACATTTTATCATCCGATCTAATTCACGTTCAAATGCTCGATGATTAAGATCAAGTCTGCAAAGGTCAGCTCACAAAATTATATTTTAAACATAAAAAAAATATATTAAAATACTTGAAGTTTCCTGAAAATAAAAAAGTCTCTCGCAACCGGAATCGGTAAAACATCTCCGTAGAATTCACAAATATAATTATGTAGCTACAACTACGACGCGCGCACCGTGTTCAGGTACTTCAGTTAAATTCGAGGGCCTGGGAGAACAATAATTTTTGGCTGGCACGCTTATGATTTTCTCTAGTTCGCTTAAGACTGGACCTGACGATTCGAGCAGATTGTCAACATTATTCTCACGTAAATTTCTCTGTTCATCCTTTTTCGGACAATGTGGGTTGTTCAGACACTGCAGCTCGAGCGAGCCTATTACTTACTCTTAACTGAACATCTTCCAAATAATTATCATAGGATATTTTAATTTTCAGTTTAATTAGTGTTCTAAGCCGTTTAAAATCTGCATGTAGCCCTATTTTTTATACTTTCGATGATATCTTTCAGTTTTATATGTTTAATGTCTGACTCAAACCATGTTGGATGTTTATGTTTATAATTTCTATAAGTTGGAATGTGTTTATCGCACATAAGATATATTTTATCATAAAAATCACTAACCATCATTGTATACATCCAAAAACCCCCAGTCGAGGTTTGAAATTTCCGTATACAGTGATGGAAAATCAGTTTCCTGAAATTGTATACTTTGGTTTGCGAATTAGTTAAAAAAGTAATATCCTTTTTACTCATTTCACTAAAAGTAATTGACAGCGCCGCATGGTGATCATCCTCTTTTACAAGTGGTAAATTATCATGAATAACCTCGCTTTCATTGGAGGAAATAACCAAATAATCAGTAGGCGGTGATTGACTCTGCCAAGTGATGATACAGCTGTGTTATTATTGTAATCGGACCCTACCTGAAGTACGTTGCATTGGTACTGATATATCGAAATAAATATAGCAATATACAGAATGATTACTATGTATTGAGCTGGAAACCATAAACGATGTCAATAAATTAGGTTTTTTTTATTAAAAAGTTTTAATTATTTTTAATAAGTTAGTTCATTATGAAATTAAAAATTCTACCTACCTTTCATCGTTTGCGTATCTTCCATTTCTTGCATCTCCTTGTAAACTCCATAAATCCTTTGGAAATCTCTAATGAGCACTTCTCTGTCATGATGTAAAGATTTTTTATACAATTCGAGCCAATAGAAGTAGCACTGCCATCTGAGGTCGTAAGGCATGTTGTACGGATTACGCATATCGATAAACTCAGGCTGAATGGATTTGTTTTTATTCTTTTGACCTTGCAATAGCCTGAACTAAAAACCAAACGATTTCAGATAAAATTGGAAAATAATATATCTCCAATTATTCATAAATCTGTATTTGTTATGAAGCCAGCATCAAAAACATGGTATCTCTAAATATGAGCGAGATAATCGATGATCTTGGCAGAACATGAGATCTGTTCCAATAGCGATCAGAAACCAGTCACTGACACCAGGATTCTGCTCAGTAGATAATTTGGCAGTCCCAATAATCTACTGCGCAAATCCTGGTGTTTGAACGTTGTTGGAACAAACCTATCGACTTAATGATGCTAGGTAGCGAATATTGCACTATTAATGTTAGGAACAACCTAACTTGGCATCAATGTTCTATTTATCAGAATATTGCATTTCTACCAAGAACGCCTAGAATGTGAATTCATGCTGGGAGTTGATTATATATCTATGAAAACTAATACCACCACCCAGAAGAATAAGAGAACTGGTAATTTTGAAAATTAACACTTACTATAAGCACGTCTAAGTAATTTTCAATCATGTACAACTCCATCTGCATCCTATCTTCTTGAAAGTATTTTTCTCTAGGACTTATTATCTCGTTTTTTTGCAAATAGTCGTATTCTTTTAACAACTCGCTTCTTCTATCCCTAAGACTTTTAAGACCAATCAGCTCTTTGAAAGGGTTAATTTCAATATTTTTAAAAATATCTTCGATTTCTTCGAATCTGGTATCCAAGTTTTCTTCATTTTCGATTTCTAGACGGCGGTTTTCTTCGTTTGTCGTTACCTAAGGTGAAAACAAGATATTTACGGATTATAAACGATTATAATGGTTAATACCTCTTCGTTTTCCTGATACCCTTCCACCGGCCCTTCCATTCTGTTAGGCATGGCATTGTGGCCCTCTTCGAACAACCAATTCAGAATGTTATCGCTAGTTGCTCGTTCAAACCAAGTACCTCTAAAGTTAAAGATGTTAGCGAACACGCTAAAATCGACGATTCTGGTATATCTATCGATTTCATTCAAATTATGTTTAATCGAATCGATATGTGAAAGGTAATTTGCCACTTCACGTCTTTTCTCTTGCAAGGTATGGTTTCTGAACTGACTTCGATGATTGCGTATGTTGAATTGCTCGATATTTTTGTTTTTCGATTGACTACCAATTCTAATCAACTAAAAAAAAAAAAAATAAATGGGTGGTAGAAAACTCGTCAATAAATTCCTAAATTACTAAATATGAAAATAAACCAAAGAAAAGTAAAAAAAAGGTGTGCGCTCACATTATGTCAGAAGTAAAAACTTGTTTGGCATTGGTAATTCTACGTAATTATATACAGTAGGTTAGAATAAATTCTATATTTTTCTATCTAACAATATTTTAACAAAATGCTGTCATAGGTCAATTTTTATTTTCAACTGCGCGTCTTACGCTACAATTTTATGTAGTAATGACGTCACCACTTTCGTGTACATAACATCATAGATTTTTCTATCAGATATTCCTCTTATTCGCGCCGTCATCGAAGATTTTTTTATAGAACGTGTTTCGTGCACTGAACTCTACACCAGTGAAATGCTACAAGTTTCTGTCGACCTAATCAAAAATGGCATAAAATGCTAATTACGGAAAATTTGGAAAAAAATTCATCGAAAACTGCACATGCGTCTGTATCAATCAAACGGACTGGATCTCCTCTTTAGACTAAAAAATATTAGTAGATACCGGTATCACAAAATCCATTTTAAAGCCCACAATTGCAGAACAATTTTATCTAAGTAGTATTTACCATTCAAATGTATCACATTCAACCTCTTTGGGCACTAAAAATATCAAATATCAAGCCAAAATACCAGCTTTAAAGGAATTAAATAATAATCATATATTGACCTTTATTCTTTATGACTTCCACGAATTTTTCGACAGAGTCCATAGGTATTAATGACCTTATTACAATGTACTTTAATATATATTTAAATAATAAACAATTAATTGGTGATCGCTTAACGATTCCAATAAAATTTAGTTAACCAAATTATATAGAATATAAAAAAGGTAAAATCAAGAATGATTTCAACGCTGTAGAAACGGCATCTTTAGATGTTAATTCAAAAGGAATTGGAAGATGTTAATGAGTTATCGGTCGATGCAAATTATTTTAGTTAAGATTTATGAAATGCTTGTTAGGCATTTATAGAAGGTTTGTCTACTGGCTTAAAATTTCCAAATGGTAAAGGTCGCGTTTAATTATCACTTATTGGAGGAGATAAAAGATTTGTTGATAGAGACTTGTTAGAATTTGTTTCAAATTCTACGAAAGACTACCATGAAGAAATGACTGCTGATGTTTTTGAGGAATATTTCAGTCAACAGTTACCTAAAACTAAATGGAAAAAGCAAGAACTCTCCGATTGGCCAATAATCAAAGAAATAGTGTCAGAAGAGGGATTACTCAAAAAAGAGCTATTGCGGTTATGTAAACAACATATTCACCAAAATTTAAGAAGTACAGTGTAGGTGAAATATCAAAAGAAAATGGAGTTAAAGTGTTGTGTTTAACACCTGTTATTTTATTTTGTAACATTGTATTTTGTTGACTTGATTGCTTTGATTATTTTTGTCAATATGATATATGTTTTGGAAGTATCTTTTCAATAAAAAGAAAAGTCAAATCGATTTTTTAATGTCTGGTTTTTTTATAAGTTTACTGTTTCTGGTTCTATTCTTTTTTCGTGACCTGTTCAATTTGTTCCTCGAATTCTTTTACAGAAAACTTGGGTTCAGAAAATAGGCTGGGATGTTGAGGTATCTGATGACATTAAGAAAGAATTCTTAGACTGGGTTGGAGATTTAAGTATTTTGGCTTTTTTAGAAATTCCCAGATGGGTTTTAAAAAATCCAGTTTCTGGCTTAATTCATCAGAGTTTACATTTATTTTGTGATGCGAGTCAGCAGGCTTATGGATTAGTAGTGATTTTAAGGACATAGTCAGCTAGTGGAGTCGTTGTAGAGTTGGTTGCGGCAAAGAATCGTGTTTGTCCTATCAAGAAATTGAGTATTTGTAGGCTGGAGTTGTTAGCGGTTACTCTTGGTTCGAGGTTGCAGAGTTTTGTTTTAAAAAATTTGCATTTTGGGGAAGTTGATGTTTATTCAACTACTGTTCTATCCTGGATTCGTAGAGAAGATATGTGGAAACCATTCATTTGAAATAGGGTAAAAGAAATACGTACTCTCACCAGAAAGGAAGATTGGTATCATGTTGCAGAGAGTTTGAATCCTGCCGATCTTGTTTCGAGAGGTTGTTCTCCTAAAAAGCTTGTACAAACTTCTTGGTGGGAGGGACCGAGTTGGTTATTAAATGTTTCCAAGTGGCCTCTGCAGAAGTATGTAGTATCTAAGGAAAAAAGGAACACCCTTTCTTCATTATTGGATGCTGAAGTTGATTATTCAGTATTTTTCAGATATTTTTCTATGTATTCACAGATCGTGATTTTGTCTAGCTTTTGTTGAGTAAAGACGTATGTTATTTTAATTAATAAAATTGTTTTCAAACCCTTTGTATCAGTTTCAAAATACTTATGTATCGGTTAATTCATAGAGCAGAAGTTTAAGGTACACATTAAATATCCGAATTAATTAAGCAAGAAATAATTTTAACATTGGAAAACAAGCCAAAATGTTTACTGGAAGTCGTTATCACGCCCACATAGAGGACGTCACGTATAAAAGGGTTTTTTTCCAGAAGTCAACGATTTACGAAATAACGAATGTATTCCAGTTTAGTTTAGTATAGAGTATTGGAATGAAAAGTTAAAGTGTAATAAATAAATTAGAATTGTTAGTTAGTGTCTAAGTATTATATAAATTAATTAGTACGTCTGAAATAAATTGTAAATAGTGTTTTAAATAAATAAACTATAAATAAATTAAACTATCGTCACAATACTGTATGTCTAAACTTACTTCATCAGTGACCGGCAGCAGTCCTTCCAAAAATTGGTCCAATGCATGATTAGTATAACAAATAACTAGCATCGGTGTCTTTCTATACCAACGCTTCATATTTTCTAACAGTGTTCTAGCGATTTTTAGTCCTAAAAAAGTTTTTCCTGTTCCAGGAGGACCTTGTATAATAACGAACTCTTTAGTAAGAGCAGCTTCGAAGGCTTCACGTTGGCCGGCATTCAGTCCATCCACGATGTTTTCATTATATTCCAAAGGAATCACTGTCCTCTGTTCGCTAGGTAGTACCTGCGATGGCGTTTCTGAAATCTCTGGCCACTGTCCTTTAGGGAGTAGCTCTAACGGTGTTTTAAGGTACTCTGGAGGTTTTGCTTCGCTTTCCACTAGTATTATGTATCTTTCCATAGGGAAATGAATAGTAGACATATTCTTTAATGCGTTGAGGACCTGATAGTATGGTTCGAAGAAGACTTTACTTTCAAGCATCAAAAATTGTGGACCGATTATAGTTTGTGGTACGATAGCGTTGTTTCTGAAACCAACTATCAACTGTCCCTTTGACAGAGTGTCTAAATCTCTGCCAGCAACCGTGCCGAATAATATTGTACGAAAATTATCTCGAGTGAAGCACAATAAAGAACCGTACATAAACCGTTTGGAATTTTCAAATTCGAAAGACTTTTTTTCGTTGCTGAAATCGTATTGCAGGCGATAACAGTTTTGATCCGAAATCGTTTCTCTATTTAGGAATTGGACGTTTCTGTACGTTCTGATATTTTCTAGTTTGGTTTTTGGGTCTTCTAAATACCTGTAAACAAATTTCAAATGTTAAGTATAACAAACGTCCAAAAAGAATGTTTAAAAAATTTATTAGACTAGCAGACATCGATGCAACAACATCAAACCAAGGAGACAATTAATTGCTTTGTAGTTCGCATGAAATTCACATTATATATACTTTAATTAGGAATAAAAAACAACAAAATATACACAGTGTGCCAATTTATCTGTTGGATAAAATTACTGTATTAGCTAACACTATTAATATCTAGTAGGTAACATTTTTGGACGTCCAATCATTCAAAATTGTATATCGAATGGACATCCAATGAACCCATTTGTGCTTCCACAACATTACAAATGTATAAGTATTTTTATCGCCAACCGTTAATAAAGCCATGCATTACCATAGCGATTTGCTGAAGTATATAACGAGGGTGTCAAAGTTTATAAACCCTGATGTTGTTTTACAATTTAAGTGAATAAAGCTCAGTACTATGGGACGTGAGTGGGGCCACTTGGATATAACAAGCACTTGGCATTTAGAAAATGGACGCCACCATATTTAAATCTGTATATCTCTAGGTATAAAGTAATTGATAAAAATATGGAAACAAAAATAACTATTAAATAAATTAGAATTTGTCTATTTTTGATTAGTATTTTATACAAAAATGAGGGACTTGGGTAAAGGTAAAGGCGCCATTTTCTTAAAAATACAATTTTTTTTACAAAACATACATTTTAGGCTTAAGGAAGGAAAGTATTTTTCAAATATACCACCGGAAACCCAATAAATTGACGTTTTATTAAAAAAAAAAATACATATTAAGGGCTTATGAGGATCATTAAGTGATCCCTTATCTAAATTTATTCATTAGAATTTAAAATTATATCTGTCATGCTCTACCAATACAAATATGCGCGGTGTTGCCAAGTATCCAATTAAAATCAACGAAAAAGTACCTTATTTTGACATATTTCCATACACTTTAAAAAGCACTTCTATTAATTTATTTCTAGTCACATTCGACGATTTGTTTATCCATTTTGATTGAATTGTTATAGTACATAATTATTACTTTGTGTTATCCAAAAGTTTGAAACAAGTGAATTTGTTTGACAAATGACGCCATTCAGCCAAATTTAAAGGCAACTATCAACAAAAGGATAGCTGAATTAGTTCTATTTGTGCTATGTTAACTCTGACGTCACTCGGTGGATACAGTTCATCAAATTTCTAGAGGCTTTCGACGGCTAGACAGAGAAAGCACTACTGACAGGCATCCCGACGGATTTACGCAATGAAAGTACACTCTGCGCATCAAGTATTTCACTATTTCAGTCAGACGTAAATGTCAGATGTAAATTTCGCTAAAACATTTCTTTTATTTTCGTTTGTGTTTTTTGCTCATTACAGTTTAATAGAACCTAAGTATGGAGTTTAATAGCAAATTAAGAGGCCGCGTGATTAACAGTCAATCTCGCGAAATAATAGCCAATGTTATAGAGTTTATGAGAAGAGAAGGAAACTTTAATTCACCTTCAATACCATTTAAAAATGTAAATGATCGTGTTGCTGCAGCCACAGGAGTATCTAAAAACACTGTCGTCCGCATTTCTGGAGAGAAAAAAAGAATCGATAACCGTGAGATATCGGAATTTTCATCACCAAAAAAAACCATTAAAAAACCAAAAACAGTTAATGATATAGATGAAGCTGCACAAGAATCAAATTTTATTTTTTTATTATTAGATAGCTATTTTTGTTTCTGAGTTGTGTTCATTTACAGGCTCAATTTTTTTCCGTTTCTCCTTTTTGATTTTATATGGGGTTTCAAGTTGTTTTTGACTTATTTCGACGTAAATCACAACAACACACTTTTTTAATAAAGCAAACAAGTGTTAAGAGGTATATGTACGTGTAAACTACAATTACAAAAAATTGAAATGAAACCCATGAAACCACCAACAAAAATGTAAAGCTAGCTTCCGTACTAGAACATGGTGTCATTCGTCGAGATAATTTATCGTTGTGTTTAATAGATCAAGAAATGTAAATATTCCCCTGTTATTTTTTATAAAATTTTAAGAGAAATAAATATTTTTCTAAATAGTATAGTTTATTATTTTGTAGAAAAACAAAATTTCGAAAATTTTAGTAATGTTTCAGAAACAACCGTTATTAATAATAGGTACCATTTTCCTTAATAAGGTAGAAATAAAATATAAACTATTTCCACGATTTACAAAGGCATACAAAAAAATTATAGGTATTTTCCGCTATCCTATAAAATTTATATTTTCTGACTCAATTTCAAAAGGTTGAAGAAATTCCAAAACACCTTTTATGACATAATTATTTTCAATTCTACATACTATCTTTAGCTGCTTTTAAAAACGTTCTAAGAAAGTCCAATCAGACCAATTTAATCCCTAAACTATTCCACACTTTTAAAATTTAATTACCTAAAAATATTAAAAACTATTTAAAATAACTTGTTTAGCAGACTGTACAATAGCTATCTTAGTCACACGTAGCGCGTTCTCTGTCTGGGCGTCGAACACCTCTAGAAATTTGATGAACTGTACTTTAAAGGCATCCCATTTAAAACGTACATTTTTTAAATTACGTTTAACATTTTTTATTTTTTAAATTAAAAGTTTTTCAGATATTCAAAAGATCATTATAGGATTAAATAAATAGGTAAGTAGTAGGTAATAAAATTAAATATTATGGCCATGTTATTTAAACATTTTTTTTAAATTAAGAATTATTGAAAAATTTAAAATGTTAAGGTATAAGTCAAAATTTATATACAGAGTGTACAAAAAGTAACATAACATACTAATATTCGGATTCCTGATAGGTTTACAAATTAGTTTTGAATAAAATTTTATGAAATGAATCAGAAATATACTGGGTTGACCATTACTCCAAAATTACGCAAGAATATATATTGTTAAATAATGTTTCGTACTCTAATAAATTTTAAATAAAACTGTTAAAACCGCATTGTGCCAGCATTATTAGTTCGAATACATCCCTGCATTATTTTGGAATAATGATGTCTACTTCTAACTGACATATAGATAATTGTCAGAATTCAAAAAAATTTCGCCTGTGCTCTTTTTACACCTACACCGTAAGCATGCTTCGCTCGTCCCACCCACCTGCTAACCACCATAGAAGCAAGAGAGCGAAGCGACCTACATCATAAGAGTACTGAAAGCTCGTCTTATCTACTTTCTACTAGAAGTGCTTTTTACAGTGTATGAAAATAAGGTACATTTCTTTTTGTTGATTTTTAATTGGACACTTGGCATCACTGCGCCTTTTTGTATTGACAGATATATTTCTAAAATTTAATGCTTAAGTTTACAAATGATCACTTAATGATCCTTATAAGTCTTAAAGCTGGATTTATAAACTTCGTTCAGTTCGAGTTCAGTTGACGTTGAGAGACGACTAATTTTTATGTTGGCAGGCGTTCGACGTCCATATCTGTGTTCGACGCGAATGTTTTATGTTATTGATTGAATATAATTCGTCGTGTCAGGTTATCTTAAGGTACCATTTCGGAACGCGCGACAGACGACATATGACAACAAGAACGGTCTTTTCACGTCTGAACACATGCAATTATATGAAACGCATTTCGCAAGGCGCGACCAGTGGAAGAGACAGAACTCGACGACAGGTAGATCGGTCTCGGGGTAGCGTTTGCTGCCCGTCTCCCTTAGTCATCGTCATCGCTTGTATTTCGAGGTGATTAGACGATATTTTATAGAAATTGTAGTTGCAAAGTTCTATCCTGGGCAGTGTTGCCAGATGAGAATTTGCTGGAATAGTATGGATAAAAAAAATCCGTAGATCTAAATACGGGGGGAAATAATTATAATTTGCAGTGTAGTAAATAAAAAAAAAGTATATAAAAAACGAAAAATAAACATTTTTCTACTCAAATTAGAAAGTAAACAAAGAATAAAAACAAATAATAAAATTTTTAATATATACTTAAAAAAACAATGAAAAATAATAGGTGTCCTATTAATTCTTTGTTGCATTTTAAACAAAAACATAAATGATTATCTTGAGGTTTTTTTTATGGAGCAAACCTACAGTAGTGGATGCTTATCACGCTGCTTTTACCACAGCAAATTTCCTAGAGAAAATATTCTTTGACCATTTGCTAAAGAATGAGGCAAACTTAATAAATTAAGAACAAAATTTGTTAAGTTGGCGAAAACAGTAGATTTCATGCCTAAAACAGGAGAACAGAGAAAAAAAACAGTGGATCTACTTTAAAACAGTAGGTCTGGCAACACTGATCGTTCCCTCGAATTGCCGTCTGCGGTTGTCGTGTTGCCTGTCTCCTTGCTTCCCAAATGTGTGGAGCGTAACGTAAATGCATCTGTCTCCTTTGTCTTTGTCGCGTCTGTTGTCGTCTGTCACGCGTTCCGAAATGGTTTAGTTTATTTAGTGTTACCGAGGGGTTATAAACCTGCTTTAAAAAAATTAATATGGCATATTTGTAGATGCTTTTGGAATACAAAAAATTGATACTTTGTATCTGACATCGGTAACTCTGCAATATTTGCAGATCTGTAAAGTTGCAGTCCTGCATTTTGTGTAATCTCACCCTTAATCGATAAAATTTGGAGGACTCGTGGTATTACTGTAATTCTTATAATCATAATATATGTTCAAAAGGCATCATTTACCAGATACAGAGTGTTGAAAGTTTTTTAAAAAATAGTTTTAATTAATATCTAAATAACGTTTTAGCAGATTTCAATGACATTTTAACAATTTTGAACATGCATATTCGCTCCGTGCGCGACAGCAGCGCCAATTCGTTTTGATATTAATGGACTATTTCTGCGTATACTGACAAATGCAATTTTTAATAGAATTCGTAATTAAAAAGTATATTAGTTTTAATAAAAGTATATGGATTTGTAAAACAAGTAAAACATTAATTTATTATTATTATTATTATTATTATATATTTTTATCTCTTAAATTAAAGAAAATTATGTATAATCAATAAAAATTAATAATAAAATATAGGCAGGCAACAGTATTTACTGGAAAATGTATGAGAAGTTGACTAATCACTATTCGCACCGCTAATAGTTAAGAAGTAAGCCAAGCTTAAAATGACATGTTTCCATTGACAATGTCATTTTAAGCTTCGCTTATTTCTTAACTACTAGCGGTGCGAATGGTCCTAGTCTAATAAGTTGTCATTGAAGAATTATTCTGTCAAAATAAAAAAATACCAGGGCTGGTATACCCAGCCCTGAAAAATACCATTTAATAATCTCAAATTAGGAATAGCGTAAAGTTAAAATGTATAAAAAGAGGATCGTTATTTATATTTTCATTTTTGTTGGAAAGAAAACATAGAATGAATAATTAAAACTGGATTCTCATCAGTAAGCTACAAAATTGTATTCCAGCCACATAAATAATAATCAAAGGCAGAAATCTTGAAATCTAGTCCATGCTGAATAAACATTTAAGAATAAAGGGATATTAAAGAACATCGTAAAATGATAATTTATTGTTTATTTAAAACCTTTCAAGTTTCTGATGTCTACTATTTCCAGCATTACTGTTATTATTACAAAAATAAAGGTAATTTTTCTTCTTATTGTACACCTATCCATTTATTTCTTTCGATTTAATTTCCACTTTGCTACTGAAATTTTTTATATAAGTTTCACTGTTTTTTTTTGCTAGCATTTGTACAATTTTCAACACAGCAACTCCGGTTGCTTATTGTATTGTTTTCACCTACTTTTTTGAAAAAAAGTAAAATGTATACGTGTATTTGATATGCCAAAATTACAAAATATCGCCCTAAAATGCACGAATTATCCGCAGCTAGCGCTAGTATCGCTTTTGCTTCCCTTTCCATGACTTCGCACGGAGCGAATAGGTACTTACTTGCATATTCCATTTCTTAATGGCTGGACAAAATCTTCTCTATAGAGTCTGTACTGCACGTCTAAATAGTGTTCGATATCTCTATAAGGACCTTTAATAACGTTAGGTCTTAAAAACACGTGTTGCTGGCTGGTAATCTCATGTGTATTTGGATAAACACCTATGTCTCTGAAGTTATCTGGTGGTTCAATATAGGTATCTTCGTCCCTGTTAAAAATAAATATATTTGACGGTAATAAGTAGGTTTTTATCGCTCGAGGGGGAGAATTAATTACTTACGTTCCAGTATTCTCTTTCTTTGTTTGAATATCGTTCCATACTTTTTCGACGATATCGCTCAAATCTTTGAATTCGTTTTTGATTTTGTCCGAAATATGGACACCTTGCAGATTCGTCATAGTGAACGTCAAAGCTTTTAAAAGCTTCAGATTAGCTTCACACGAAGACATCGGTATCAAGTTATTTAATGTTTTAACCAAACAAACAACGTTCAGGCAAAAATTTTCGGCATCGTTCCAGAAGAAAGCATTAAATTTTTTCTCTCTGTCGGACTGAAACGCAAAAACAGATTTTTTTGTTAACTTTGTCTCGCTAATTATACAGTGAGCACCATAAGTCTTACCCCCCCCCCCCCCCCATCTAACTCATTACTGGAGTCTTGTTAGGAAAATCGCCGAGACACGTCGATTTTTGATTTCTACAATGTACATTTTTGTATGAATAGTTTACCCTTAATTTCATCCCTTACTGGAGGGGAGCAACCCTTTCGAAAAATTTAAATGGCATGGGATGGCGAGTGATAGCTCATTTGAAAGAGGGTTTTATTCTCTATTCAACCGTGCTTCATTAATTCTCGACTAATTGTTGTTTCAGAATAACGGAAATTAACGTAGCGCACTCATCCTTAGAATTAAAATTCGGCCCTGCATGATTTCGGTTTTGTTTCAGACGTGAAGTAAGACTTTTTGCCATTAGAAGGTCTGTAGGTAGCAGGAAATCAGTAGTTAAAAGATAATTTTATTTTTAAATATGAAAAGCGTTATATAAAAATTGTTGTGTCAAAGGTACGTCTTGTCTTGTTAATTTCGAAATCAGTAATCAATCAATCTTTTTGTTTCCTTTTTCCATGGTTACCATCCATCAGATAAGTAGGGTGCTAGTGTACGCAGCTATCGACCAAGATCATAATATATGTGATATTATAATGGTACCATCTGACATTGACACTTGACCAACCTCAAATAAAAACTGACTAAAAAACCTTAAAATAAATTGACGTAAAAGTCAAAACTAAAGGTAAGACTATGTGGTGCTATGATGTCGCCACAAGGTCACTGTTAGTCTAGTTGCTTTCCTATTTTGTGAGGTTTTGTTATTTTTAAACATTAATAAATCAACACGTAATGAAGCAAATTTCAAAATTTTTTGCACGGTTGAATAGAGAATAAAACCCCCTTTAAAATGAGCTATCACTCACCACCCCATGCCATTTAAATTTTTCGAAAAGGTTGCTACCCTCAAGTAAGGGATGAAATTAAGGGTAAACTAATCATGCAAAAATGTACATTGTAGAAATCAAAAATCGACCTGTCTCGGCGATTTTCCTAACAAGACCTCAGTAACGAGTTAGTTAGGGGGGGTAAGACTTATGATGCTCACTGTATTTGTGATGTACATAAGTTTGCAGGGCCGGTTTTAGAGGAAATAACACAGCAGATCGCCCTGAAATAATACATTTATGTAGGTAACCACATATCAAGTTACCTGAATCGGTAGAGATGAAATGAACTGAGTAAGAACTCGCGCGAAACCGCTGTCAATTACAGTTTGCAATAAATGGGTTTTCGTCGCGCCAAAACTGCATCCGCAAACTCTTGCTAAAAGTTTTACGGACAAAACAATTAGATCTGGACCCAGATTGTCGTTTTCCATCAAAGCTCTGATGCCCTTTCGTTCGTTGGTTAAGCAGAAAACCACCTGCAATTTGTGAAGAATTCGAGAAAATTACTTGTGCAAATAAAGTGAAAATATATTGTATACTTACCTCTTCTAAATTGTTGTTGTTCAAAAGCTCTTGTATCTTTCTGAAGCCAATTTTTGGTGGTCCTCCAAAATTTCTATTTTCATTAAAATTTTGATTCCTTCTTGATGGATGATATATTTGGTTATCTCTACGTCTTTCTTCATTGTCGTTATCTATATTTCTTCTTGGATGATTTGTATAGTTAATAGGACGTCTGCCTTCCTCACTTATGTTTCCTATATCTTCCTTTTTATCCCTCCAGTTGTCTTAGACAAATTTAAAGTTTTTAAAAACTGGTTAAATAATGATCATGTTACATAAGGCTAACAAGTTGTACAACATGAAATCTGATACAAAAATTGTGGCCCAAAAAGTTTTATAGAAATTGAAAAAAGTTTATATTACATTCCACAAAAAAATGTTGTTAAAAAGCTCTGCAAAAGTAGTTAAATGTACCTACTCTCCAAACTTTTTTTGTGTACTAAATTTGGGTGGTAAGTAGCTATCTATCAAGGGCGGCTCCAGGGGGAGCTATGGGGGCCATGCGATTTATTCAAAAAAATATATAATAATCTTTATTTAATATAGGAAGTCCTAATACATAGTAGTTTTTTAACAATATTACATATTATCGTCAGTCTGCACAAATTCAGTTGAATAAATAAAATAAAATTAAATCTTGATAAAATTAGTAAAAAAATCAGTAATAAAAGCAAGACGTTTAGTACTAAAGTTACAATAAAATAAATACATATTAAAGTAAACATAATAAACATACAAAGTTAATTTAGTTAATTTTTTTATTGGTACCCTATTTTACTTATTTAAAGTACGCCTCAGCGTGTTTAAAACGAACTTTAAAAAACGCGTTTTAAAGTTACCATGGCAACATCAACAACCCGAGAAACGTGATGTCTAAATGCCAACTTTTTAAATATTGATCTGACAGGAGTGCCTTGTAATGTCAAATAAAATATTTCTGAGAAATTTTTCAAAAAATTTATTCAAATATTTTTTCACATTCTTAATTGTTTAAATGAATGTGGAAAGTACAGTTAGTATTGTTTGAAATATTAAAACTAAAATACTGTTCAAATTAAAATTGCTAACATTCTTAGAAGTCAATAACTTCCATTAATAGCACTTCCAATAATATTTGAAACATTCTTCTTATTGCTAATGCTCTCTTCAACGTAACCAGTCGCCACAGCTGCCGATTTCCATCCTCCTTGTCGTTGGATTTGATCTATTGTCATGCCATTATTCGCCATAATGGTAGCGGACGTACGTCGAAATGCATGTCCAGTATATTTCTCAGAATCGTCCAATTTAAGATAACGTGCAATTTGCTGGGGACATGATCCAAATGTATTAATACCAACCACTTGATTGGTGCACTTCCCCTTATCATACCGTAAGAAAACTCAGTCTGTACTTACATTTTGGGGCGCAATGATAAATACTGCTTCACCAAATGCACACATCTAATTGCATCACTATCGGCAACAGTAAAACGTCGAGACTTCACTGTCTTAGATGGTCCGATAGTAATAAGCAATACGCTTCCTTCTTTCTTGATATCAGCTAAGCGTAAATCGCACAATTCACATCTTCTACAAGAGCCAAAGATGCTACAAATAGCAACCAACTTCAAAAATAAATACGTAATGTCCGGTGCATTTGTAAAAAACTTCCGAAAATCGTCTTCCTCGAATACATATGCCTTCTTGACTATCTCATTTTTGCTAATTGCCTTCATGAATGCATGCACTTTGACGAACGATTTTATATCGACCCCTTTGTTTATCCTCAACATATACTTTGTAATTTTGAATGGATAGTCCACATAGTCTATACTTTATACTGTTCCGGCAATTAATCTTACGTGACAGATTGAAAATAAATGTTTGTTTGTCTCATGTTCATGACAACGAGGTATACTGATGTTACATCACAAATTCAACCATTTTCAGTTATTAGTTCTTATTTCCATTTTTTTGTAGAAATAATACCAATATTTAGGATTTCAAAGTATACCAATAAAAAAAATAGCGTAAAGTATTCGTGAATAACTGGTCTTTAAAACACTTGCTCTATTTCGAGCACTCCGGTTGCGCCGTCGTGCTCGAAAAATCGCGCGTGTTTTAAAGACCGTTATATCCACATACTTTAATATATTATAATATCAACCGCGACTACATTTTTAAAAATTGCATCAATGTAACGATTTCAATAATTATAATCTATAAAGTGTGAGTATGTGGTGTGGAATGTTTACTGTGGACATACGCAGATAAACTGATTGCCCATTTCTATTTTTTATAATTAATAATTATATTCCATAGAAGAAAAATTACAATACTTTTTAACTTTGGTTTTTTCGGTCTAATATTTTTAATTATTTTATATTTTAAAGCTCTTTTCGCGGTTTACTATTTTAGCATTATTAATGTATCTTAGTTATTTAACATGAGTATAATTTCATTTTTGCTAAAATATTCAAAAGAAACACCTTAATAATCTGTTGCGAGGAAAGAGAATTAATTTTGCAGTAAAAGAAGGATATAATGTTCGGTGTCCACCTGCAGCCATTTCTATTAAGAGCGTTATCCAGTACGCTTCTAACCCAGATTTCAAATCTGCTAAATAATATGCGACGCAGTACCTCTCAGACAGTGTTGCCAACTCGGATTTTGAAAAAGACGTAGGCTAGACTAGAAAATTACGTAGATTTAGTAAAATTTTCATATGAAAAGTTCGTAGATCTACGTACTTTTTATTTATGAGTGAAAGAAAGAGAAAAAGAGAGAGAAAGGTAGAAAAAGAGAGAGAAAGGGAGAAAAAGAGAGTCAATTTTTATTATTTTCAGGCAAATTAAATTTATACATATATTTATTAAAACATTGAATGTGTTCCGGGGTACATTGTTACTTACATGAAATAGTGTAAAATCAAACAAATCAAACAAGGTAGAAACAAACCAACTCCTATGTTAAATTCGAATCGAAATATTTTTAGGTTAAGTTACACTTCTTTTTATGGCACGGCGCGGCGAAGCGAAACGTTTTGTCTTTGGACTCTTTTTGGTTTTGGTTATTCGGTTAACTAGTTTTACGCGTCCGCGCTACATAATTTGTCCCGCAGACAGGGGCGCCACGGAAAATATGCTTCTTCAGAATAATAATATAAATAAGTTATGTTATTTTGCTTTGGATTATTGGACCATGAGAAAAAAAAATACGTAGATTGTGGGACTGAAGTTCGTAGATGCGCAGAAAAGGTATAAAATACGTAGATCTACGTAAAAAGACGTAGAGTTGGCAACGCTGCTCTCAGACCAATTTGGCAACGTCGCGCGCTCGATGTCTGTAGGATGTTTCTTTGAGAAGATATTCAAGTCGGATTTGGGTGTGCGTTTTAGTTTTTAATAGAGCAAAATTTAGTATAAAAGTCGCTTATTACTCGAGATGATAAAAATTGGTGTAGATCCAAAGCAGACCCTATAGGTATTATGTAAATAAGTAGTGTATGAAACGGACATTTACAGCCGTATGTTTAGTCGATCGTCAGTGATTCATTTCGGCACATCGCCAGCGATCCGCCGGCGAAAGCCCGAAAAGGTGGCGACTCGCTGGAGATTGTCACCGGCATGTCATTTCACGCAAGTTTTCCATGTTCTTTTTTGATATTCGTTCATTGTTTTTTGAGTTTTAAGAAATGAATCAATAATAAAATGCGAGAGATGCCGGTGATAATCCCTATAAAAGAACATGAAAACTTGCGAAAAATGACATGCCTGTGACAATCGCCAGCGGGTCGTCACCTTTTCGGGCTTTCGCCAGCGGATCGCCAGCGAATCGCTGGGGATACGCCGGAATGAATCTCTGGCGAATCGCTGACGATCGACTATGCATACGGTTGTTAGACATTTTTCAGTACCTATGTAGGTCAGACATTTTTTATGACAAGAAAAAACAAAAATCAGCAATTATTAAATGTTACTATTATTTACATCACCGTAGATTGTAAATTAATCGAGCTATCACTTGATTTTTTTTATGATAAAGTAGAAATATGACCGCAAATTTCAGAAAATATAAAATAATAGCATGCACCAAAAAACATAAAATATATAGATTTATTTAAAAAATTACTTATATGTAGACAATCGCATGTACGAGATTGTCGACAGATAAAGGATATTTAGTTTACATAACAGGACTTTACTTGCTCACAATGTAATAGGTACTATAAAAAAATAAAATGAATATGTATATAACATTTATTATAATCCATACTACTCATTACTGAGCATCATTTTGAGGAGGGTTTTGTATTTCTAACCCCCCTTATAAACGAGAGTCGAATATTTCTAGGAGAACACAATAATTCATATAAAAATAATGGAGTTTTCTTTGCATTGTGTTATGCCAGAAATTATTGTCTCGTTCAGTTTTTTTCAATAAAAAACCCAGAGGAGTCCACATCACGAAGAAACATTACCTTTTTGTTATGTGAAGCTGGCCCTGGACCTGGTAGAAATATTTGTGGTTTTGTTTCAAATGTATATATAGCGGAAATGGTGACGCTAGGACCCTCTGACACCCAAACCCCCCCCACTATCAACAACAAGAATAACATAATTTTTTTTAAACTCTGTCACTTTTTTGTAAATAAAAATACTATCTATTTATCTATGAACTAAACAGAAATGTAAAATTAATGTGGTTGCAGGGTTCAAAAATATCATGATATTTATATAAATATCATATCACATGATATATATCCGATATCAGTGTTGCCAGAATATATTTTTGTAATGTACCAGATTTTTCTAAAAAATGTACCAGATTACATAAAAATGTACTAGATTCTATAAAATTACCAGATTTTCTAATTATGAAGGGTGGTCATTAAAGAGCAAAAAAAGGCTTATAGAGAACACGAACACAAAAATTTTAAACAATATTTTATCTCTCGACAAATCTCTGACATTATTTTACCTCTCGAGCAATTTTTGAAAAAGATTTTAATAACTTATGATGATATTTTATCTCTCAAACAGTTTATAAACCTTTTTTATCTCTCGAGCAATATTTTTTGTACAATTTTTAACACTATTTAATCACTCGAGCAATTTTAAACAGCCTCTCAAACTATTTTTGAACAATATTTGATCTCTCGTGCAATTTTTGAGCAAAATTTTAACAATTTATAACACTATTTTATCTCTCGAATAATTTTTAAACCTTTTTTAGCTATTTTTAATGATATTTTATCTATAGATAAATTTCTAACATTATTCTATCTCTCGAGGAATGTTGAACTACTTTTTTTTATCTTTTTAGCAAATTGCACAATATTTCTGTACCATCCGTGAATAAGTGGATAAGTCAAATTTTAGTAAAAATATAATATCTACAAATATCTAAAGTGCTCTTCCTATTCTGTTTGGTGAATAAATGGGTGATTCAAATTCTTAATAGCTTCCTCCATGAGTTTACTTCAGAGGACTCCGTGAATAGTTGGATTTCTCCAATTTTTTGTGCCAAAACCGGTAACTATAGCTATCCCCGGATTTGGAAGAGGTTTATCTAAATTATCAGTCGTTTTCTAGTTTTCTTTTCCAATCAAAATGTATGTTATTTGAAATAAGTTCACTTTGCTTTTTTCATGAATAAATAAAAATATTAAAAAAATTTTGTCCTGTTTATTTATACTAGAATAAGTCAGTAACTCAACAAAAACACACACATTTGAGGTCAATAAATTAATAGGCAAGTCAGATTTTTTCCATTAAGTAATATAATTTCACAGGTCATAATTATTTACATTGTTGGTTGTATAATTAACAACCTATTTCAAAAAAAGAAATTTAACCTAAAATTTGTTTTTCAAAAACATCAAAATGTTGTTTAAAATGGCCATACTGAAAAACTTCAATTTGTGACTTACCGACTTATTCACAAATGGTACATATTTTAACTCTCGATAAATTTTTAACAATGTTTTATGTCTCTAGTGATTTTTAAACAACTTTTTTATCTCTCGAGCAATGTTTGTACAATATTCGAGTCAATTTTAAACAATATTTTATTTCTCAATAAAATTTTCAACAATATTTTATCTCTCAAGCAATTTTTAAACAAGGTTTTAACATTTTGTAATACTACTTTACCTCGAGCAATTTTTGAACACGATTTTATTTATAATTCTATTTGATCTCTCGAACAACTTTTAAATTTTTTTCTTCTCTCATTAAATTTTTAACAGTATTTTATCCCTAAAGCAATTTATGAACAATATTTCACCCCTCAAGCAATTTCTAATAATATTTTATCCTTCGACCAATTTTAACACCCTTTTTTACCTCTCCAGCTATTTTTGGACAATATTTGATCTCTCGAGAAATGTCTACTATTTGATCTCTGAAGCAATTTTTAACAACTATTTTAATTTCTCTGGCAATATTTGAACAATATATTTTACACTTCAAATGGAACATACGCTGAAAAAAGTACTAGATTTTCCTTTGAGTGTATTAAAGTACCAGATTCTCAAATAATGTACTAGATCTAGTACAATTGTACTAGACTGGCAACACTGTCCGATATATATCCGATATATATCATTTTTAAAATTTAATTATTTCATTAAAAAACAGTATTGTTTCTTGCACAAACTATATTTTAAATTTTAACACAAATATATAAGCAAAAACCTATATTCTAAACAACAAAAATGTTTATTTAATCTCAGATTAAAAAGAAAAAACAAAAATAATTAATAAAAAAAAACATTTTATCATTATTTTATTAACATTAATATTTTAACACAAACACATATAAATCGCTAATTATTATATTTTTATTCAAGGGCGTATTGACATTTTCGGATGTTCAGAATGGTGGAAAACATTTTTAATTAAAGAAATAAAATTATCGAATATATCAGATATATATCAAGGTATAAATATCATGATTAATATCATGATATATATCCTCCGAATCCTGTGTGGTTGTGAGACGTATTCAGTATTTCCCGTCCACCGGTCAATCGGGAGGCATAATTCGCATTTTTAACGCGTTTCAACTAGTTTTGGTCAACAGTTTATCACCCTTGTGATTATTTTGCCTTTTGCCAAAATATTTTTTAGACTGATATAGGTTTATGTTTATGAATTTTTTTGTTTTCCTATAGGTATCTTTTTTGTAGAAATTTTTAATAAAATATTTTATGAAATTATTTTTCAATTTAATAAATATCTATAGGTACATAATTATTAAGGTCAATTGATAAATAAAAGCGTTTATAATAAAGAACTAAAAAAAAATTTTAGTAGTTTTTACATAATATGCAAGTAAGCGTCTCGGAAACGTCAAATCTGCAGCAGCGTTACGAAAATTTAACCTATCTGGTTAGAGGTTAAACGCAAGCCGATCCTGGAGACAAGGTCAATATCAGTGCGACGTTGCTAAGTAGTTATCTGGGGTAAATCTAAATACATTTTTCGATTTTTAGTATTTTCAGGTTTACAAAAAAAAGGGCTTTGTAGAAACAAAAATAATTAAAATAAACATTATATTTTTTAATTAAAAATACGGCTACAGACTCATTTTTTTTACATTTTGCTTTGTTGATATATATATTAAAAATGCTTTTTTTATACATCAAAATTTGGACTCAGTAGCCCCATTATGCCCAACTCCATAAATATGCATGCCAAATTTCATAAAAAAATATTAAATAATAGGCCTGGAATCTTGGAATTACTTTAAGTCAATTTTAGCACATGGATAACGCTTTTAAAAGAAAAATAGTTATTTCAATCTGCTTATTCCCTGGTTCCAAATAATTAAATATAACCTGGCAACTATGTAACGATTCCAACTGGAAGAACTAGCTGGAAAAGGAATGATGCGCACAGCAGTGATGCCATTGCTACCGATTAATCGGTAGATCTACCGATATACCGATTTTTTAGGCAATCTACCGATTTTTCAAATATTCTTTGATTATACAAATATTCACATTCACAAAAATAAAAGAATGTATTTTGCGTTAGAGCTTCTAAATACTATAAAAAATGGTGGAAAGTCCTTAACTTTTAAATATTTGTTAAATATCACTAATTAAAATATTATGCATTGAAAGTAAAACAAACTATAGACTTTCCACCATTCTTTACCGTATTATGAACATACAATAGCAATCGGGGATCGGGGAATCACAAGCAACGAAGTTATAAATAGGGGAATTTTAAAAAGTAAAAGATAATTCCTAATTCGATAGTTTTCCAGTTTGCAGTTAGTTTTCTAATATTAAAATTTTGTAAAAAATGTCCCTTTATTATTTCTTTTAAAAATATTAATTATATAATGGGTTTTGTTTATTTTCTACGATTAAAATTTAATTTTTAAGTTTTTCTTTTTTAAAAATGTTAATGTGTTTTAGATTTTTTTTGTTACTTTTTAGTATTAAAAACTTTGTTTTCTACAAATTTCGTTTGATTTTTGAAATCTACCGTTTTCTGCTGAGATCTACCGATGTTTCTCTATAATTCTACAGATTTTCGATTGACAGGGCCTGGCAACACTGCCGCACAGGCGCATTTCCAGACCCTTCAACTACAACACATTAGGTACTCAGGAAATTTATACTTATTCAATACTTTTTAAGTTTTTTACTTCTTTTTTTTTAAATTTATACCTACCTACCTGGTTTCAATAGTCATAAATTTTCAATAAAAATAATTTGGTTGTGGGTGTGCCGGCAGATAAAGTTATCTAAACGTCCGAAACTAGTCATGGTTTTATGAAGTATATTAGAACTATATTAGATTGAAATTTTTACATAATACAACTTATGCTTACTACCTATAATACCCTACAAAACAGTTCCACCTTTCCTGGTTCATATTGTCCCTATCCCTTAATTCGTTATTAATACTTATTCAACACAATTATGCGAGGTTCTGCTTTGTGATTTTTACCCGTATTATATCTACAATATTTCCACTAAGCCTAAACAAACAAATCTAAATTATTATTTACCTAATTCAACCATCAAACTAAAATTCTAAATATATCCTACCTTCACTTCTAATATTTCTTCCACCACCATTTCTAGGATTTTTATTATCATTATGCTGATTTCTCTGCATATTAAAGAAATATAGTAGCTCTATATATTTTTTAAATCACTATTATCACACCTTTTTATTAATTACACTTTTATCTACTTGCAACAAGGAGATAAATAACAATAATGCAATGCAATGGCGTCTGTCCGGTCTAATGTCATGTCGTCGTCATCGACATCAGCATATCAGCAATTCGCTATCGCTGGTGTGATTAAGGCACACCTGAGTATCTTGATGTGGGCAACGAATTTTCGTTAATCTAATAACTAACTTTTAAACCAATAAAAGATACTTTTGTTTCGAATAAATTATAACTTAAATAATTTATGCAGTTTGATTAAATATCCATTTAATTTAAGATTCTCTTTGATTTAAGTATGAAATTAATAAATATGCATAAAGTGTAGATATACATTCTTAAGCAACACAGAATGAAGTAGATAGAATGAACCGCTATCGTGCTCTATGTAGGGGAATCACCAAAAAAATGCTCAAATGCACTGAAATATTTGAAATACGAGTAGATACCATATACTTTTGTTTATTAAGAATTTGTATTGACAAATGATGGGATAATAATAAAAATTGTTTCTAAATATTTATAATTATGATAGCTTTTTTATTGAATTCGAGGGAGTAGAAAACCGGTTTTCCCTCTTTATCTGCAACACAGAAAATTTGTATTTTTGTCTCATTCTTCCCTCAAAATTTCTACTCCTTAAGATTCAGATATTGTAAATGTATGTTAGCGTTAAGCTAGATTTATAAACTATATGTTCAGTTCACGTTCAGTTCGAGTTGAATATAAACAAAGCAGAAGCAAAAAAATAACAAATCAAAAATGGTACATGAAAGAAACTACCTCAGATTTGAGAATTTTAATCAGTATGTAACACTTTATACACTTAACTTTAGAGGCCATGGACACATACTTTGATTAACTTACATTAACATTTTTGCCACTTTACAATAAGCTCCCAGGATAAAACACGTGTTGTCTTTTGGACGATAGAGCGTTTACTAACGTTTTAGTTGTGTTGTAACTAGATTTATGCGGAACAAAAATCAAAATATTTTGCGTTCGGGTTTTTTGGCAGTTAATTCTTCTTGTGATATCGATGAATACTGTCAGTATGTAATACATTTCTTGCATTTTAATACAAAATTGATTTATTTATTTACATGTTTTAGCCGATTTCGGAGTTCCATAGAATCTTCGGAACAAGCGCGAATTATAATGTTATGATCCGTTATATTGATTTCCAATGCACATCGTTTTAAAGCTTAGATAGTCTACTTTTCGAATATATTTTTTTATTTTTAATAGTCTAATAATTTTCAAGAAATGACGAAAATTGATCACACGAGTGAAAACCGGCCATTTCTTGTTCCTCGCTCTTTATTTATTAAAACGCAAGCAAAGTATTACAAAAAAAATTCTGAGATCATTCAAGACCCCCCAAGATCCGATTATAAAGACAAAATTAGAATAAATGACCATTTTTAAAGAAAATATGAATAAATTAATGAAGCAGTCTCTAAATATTGTTAAAAAAAACTTTGACCGCTTTTTTAAATATTTTTGGCAAATACGAACTGACTTCAAGTCACATGGAATTTTAGCTACGGGTTTTCCCATTGCGATGAACTTTGAATCATCAAAAAATATCAATTTTTTCCCGAGATATAGAACAATTCGTCCGCCCGCTTACTCGTTAATTCATAAAAATCGGAGTTCCTGTAGGTAGAGTAGCAGCTGAAATGAGGGGACTTTTGAGTGCCATTATCTCGAAAACTATTGAATTTTCGAAGAAAATGATAAGGGCCATTTTTGTAGATAAGGAGCTGGTCTTCATTTTTTGTCTGAACAAAAATTCTCTAATTGGCATATTTAGCCAGATATTAGCGGGAAACCCCTTTTTCAGAGTTTAGGGGTCCATTTTCAGCCCCTTCCGGTACCAAGAACGTATTAAGGATTTTCTCGTTTAAAAACACCTGCGATGACCTACAAATTGCGCTATGTGAGAACTCATCAGCGAATTTTCTACAGGTTTGACCCTTCAGTTACTGGATTAATAAGTATATCCCAGATAAAAAAACCATCGATGAAAATATCGAAAATCTAAACAGATTTTAATGGCAACGTTGTGCTGGTGATTTGACCGAGTCAATGCTGTAGATAATTCTATAGATTGAACATTCATGTTTTTCAAATTAAACATAAGACTGTGCCTTGAAATAAAAATGTAGGTAATAATTTTTTTTACTATATCCAAAGGCTGACAATTGGTTTTAAAACAGATATTTGCTAAACTGATTCTGATTAATGATCACTTGCAAGGCAATATGGCTGCTCGCAAACGACTGTCTATATAACTTTTATCTGTATCATTGACCCTGTCAATGACAGCAGGCCACAGGGTTGCCATAACATAAACTGTCAGTTCCCATTTGTGTTAGTATTTTGACAGGTTGTTGGGATATTTGGGATGCCTATATGCCTAATTTTAGTAATTTTACCGTATCATATTTTTATGTGTACTGTATAGGTATTGTTAACGTTAAAAATAAAATAATTATTACCACTTTGGATAAATTGTATAAAAGTTTAAACGATAACGATGGACATTAAACAAGAAACTTCCTATCTTCCTGAGGAGTGTATCAAAAGAGAGCCAGAAATTGCTCAAACAAGACAGAAACCACAGTCTAAAATCGAACATGGTATTGGACTTACCGATAGTGTTACTACATTAAATGTTTTTGAATCTAAAACGTCGAAACAATTCGCACAGGTTGAAATTAAACAAGAAATTATAGAATTTGAAACCCCTAAATTGGAACAAAGTATACATTTATCAACACCTAATTTCGAACAAAGTTCTGATTTGCCAATAAAAATTGACCATGATAAGGTTTGTGAAAACGGGCATATTTTTGTTAAAACTATTAAACAAGAGAACACCAAGGATGTTAAAATGACAATCAAGCAAGAAGTTGGTGAATATAATATAGAACCAAAAACTGAGAGTGAACTGCTCACTTCGGATATAGATTTACCGACTTTGAAAAGTGAAAATACTGATAATCCCGACTATTACGATTTGGAACATCCGAGTAGCTGCAAGCCCTTAAAAAATACCTCTGAAGTTATTTTAAAGAAAAAGAGATACATGTGCCCTATATGTCAGCGCAGTAAGTTCCTTTATGATTTACTATTTACCAGCTTTTTGTAAAAAATTCATTATTTTTTACTAGAATCTGTAGGTACTTGAAAGGTATAAGTAGAGAATGAGGTATTGGTAAACAATTTTCATTATTTTCACATGCTTAGATTCCTAATGAAAATAATACTACTTACTATTTTTGATCTAATTAATTACAGCAAAACCAAAATAACTATAGTTATTATAAAAATATTGTGTATTAAACAAGAAATATACCTTTTTTATGTAACTTAATTTTTCTTAAAATACATTTCTATTATTTTCTATAGCTATGTTGCGAATTTTTAAAGTGCCTGTACTTTATAAAATATAGGACAATTGATAACACTATCGAGCTTCAAATCCATAAAAATTCTCTTTTGTAACAAAAATTCGTAGATCGCAAAACAAAGTGAGAAAAAGTAGCTTATTTTTGGAATAGCAATTCTAAATACTTTAAAAAGCATTACTTTTATAATTCTATTTCATTTTTCTACTAAAAAAACTACTTAAATTTTTGATTTCCAGCCACAATTTGACAATTTATGTATCCATTTTTATTAAATTGTATTATTTTTTGAAAACTTTTAAATTTAATTAATATGTGTTATCAAAGAGTGTTTAAACTTTCAGTTTCTACTGGGTCAGCTGTGACGTCACCCCCTGGGTGCTTTCAGTGATTCAGCTGCAATTCCTCTAAAATATCTTTATCTTTGTTGTGAGAAAAAGTATTTTATTTTTGGCATAGCATTTCCAAATACTTTAAAAAGCATTAGGTACTACTTTTATTAATTTATTTCGATTTTTTTCCTAAAAAACTTTTTAACTTTTGATTTCCAATCACAATTTGGCAATTTATGTATCCATTTTGATCAAATTGTAGTACTTTTTGAAAACTTTTAAATTTAATTAATATGTGTTATCAAAGAGTGTTTAAACTTTCAGTTTTTACTGGGTCAGCCATGATGTCTGGGTGCTTTCAGTGATTCAGCTGCAACTCCTCTAAAATAACTTTATCTTTGTCAGTTATAAGCAGGTAGGGTAAGATTTGGCCCAGAACACTGCAACTCATTTAAAATATACATCAATATATCTTTTTTCTTTTTCCACCTCCACCATAAGAGTTAGTTACCCTCATCTGACTCACACCCTCACCCACTACAGTAAACACTGGGTGAAACCAGTGATATATGAAAAGGACATGCTTCCTTTCCTCAAGTGGTTAGGCAGTTGGATAGACTAATGAAAGGATTTTGAATTTTAATATTTTTATTTGAAATTTAATAGAGCACATACGAAAAACTATTTAAAAAATATATTTTTTCATTATTTCTGAATAATGGTCAACCCAGTATATTTCTTATTAACTTATACTGATAACTTGATTTCATAAAACTTTTTGTAAACCAAACTTGATTCTAAATATTAACAAGTTAAGTTACTTTTTATACATTCTGTATTTAAATTTTCGACTTCATACCTTAACATGTCAATTTTCTCAAATATTAAAAAAAAAAAAATTATTACCTACTACTTACTTATTTATTTACTCACTCCTGTAATTTATTTATTCACGGGCCTTGCCCACTTTCAGTACAAATAAAAACAAAAAAAAAACTCAAATATAGTCAATTTAAATAATATGACATAATGATAAACTATAAATAAACTAACAGCAAAAATCATAAATATATTAACATGTACAAAATCGAAACAACTAATATTAAGACTAGGGAATTTAAGTCACAGTAAGTTTTAACACCCTCACAAAATTAGAAAAGATTGAATTAAAAAATTCAAGACTATCAGCACAAGCATTAGCGCTTCGTGAAACTCTAGGCATCAATGAATTGAGGCCATTATTAGTTCTCATGTAGGGCTGATGAAGACTGTTTATTGATCTTGTGCGTCTAGTTGGGACTGCCAACAACATGCTTGAAATCAATGTAGGGCAGTCAACCATATAATTAATGAGC